AGCCATCCACCTGATGACAGACCTCCTGCAGTGGGACCCCAAGAAGAGACCAGCTTCTGCCCAGGTAAAGTCTTACAAACAAGTATTTCTACATCTCTCACAGCTGATAATATAAGCTGAAGTTTTTTCCATTTTTTGTCTTGTCAGGCTCTCAGGTACTCGTACTTCCACGTGGGCCAGGCTTTGGGCACGCCCCAGCAGATCCTGGAGCAGGGCAGACCTCAGCCGAGCCTCGTGCCGCTGCAGGTTCCTATACAGCAACAACAGACGCTGCAGCACCCGCCTCTGCTGCTAAAGCCTGTGCTGCCTCTGTCCCAGCCTCCACCTCACAACCAACACTGCCCCCCGTCCAGACCTCTCCAGCAGATCCAGCCCTCCCCTGTGCCGCCCGCCGCCCAGGCAGCGGCGTACCAACGGCACATGGAGCTGGTCAGAGAGCAGCAACCGAAGCACATGCTGAAGCAGGATCAGACTCAAGGAACACCGCAGAGCCATCTCCCTTATATTGTTGACAAGAGTCTGCAGAGTAAGGTGTGTGGTGGTGCTTGTTTCTTTATCTCTACAGCCAGACAGTCAGGACAAATCTAGCACAGAGAACACACTGGTAATCAGAAGAGAGTATAAAGGAAGAATATGCAACTTTTTGATCCAGTAGATGTCACCCATGAGCAGCCTAGCGCTCTTCATATGGCTCGTATCTTCAAACTGCATGCAAATTCACCCGAAATGACCGTGATCTAAAAACGGTGCATGTTGATAAAGGGATGGAGGGAACAATTGTGCGTCCGCATATTTTGTTTTATTTTGAAATTCACCAGACACTACATGCGTTTCCCTGTCTGACTCGATCTATTCTGTCCAGCTTGATTCGTGCTTGCAGCGAGCTCTGACGAAAATAGACTCAGGATTGAATTGAAACATGGGACTTGCTGTGAAAACAGGAGCGTTGACGAGAGTGGCAGTGAGCGGTGCTGAAGTGGCTGCACGGACTTTGTGGAAATTGGCAGTTAAAGTAAAGTGAGATAGCTTGAAAGCAGAAGTTTACTGGAGATAACCTTCTCTGTACCCTGGAGAGCTTGACTCCCATGTTTACAGTATGGTTTTTAAAAGTCCTTTAACAGTTTCCGCAATTAAAAATAGGTCCATTGGAACATTTAAATAAACACATTCTTATATTTTTTTAACTTAATTAGCATATTTGTAAAACAAAATAACACCTCTTAAAGTGTTAGTCAATGATTTAATCTTTTACATTTTTTTGAACAAAATTAAACAGCAAATTTTAGTAACTAAATCTTTTTTTATTGTTAATTTATTTTAAATATCTTGTGTAATGTATTGGAGATGGCACAGCTGTGCGTAGGATACTTAGCACTAGCTACCATTTGATGTAAATGTGGAAAGTTTTCCTCCCTCACATGGTTGATGGTTTTTATTTTCTGTATCTTTAGCAAGCGAGGCATGAGACAGAGAATTCCAACCTTCTGAGCTACCAGCTGAAACCTAAAGGAGGACGGAGACGTTGGGGCCACGGCACAGGACACCTCAAAGGCGAAGACTGGGACGACTACGAAGACTCTCATCTCACATCCATCAGTATTCTCGGGAAGAGCAACTTCTCCAGCGAGAAGTCGCGGCAGCAGGAGGACGCGCTGAGCAGGTGAGGCTGTAGTCCGTCTCCACAAGCGATAATAATGTGTGCACAAAATATGCAAAAAAAAAAAAAGCAAGGCTCTGTGGTTTAAAAAAAAAAATAGCATTGCAGGTTATTCACACCATCTGTGTCTGATTGAACGTCTTTTCTTTCAGGTATGGAAACGCTCTGGATTTCAGTCGACCCAAAGTAAAGGAAGACGCACCTTTGAACCTGAACAAGTCTTCAGCTTACCAAGAGCCATCAAGAACCGCTTCAGCTAAACAGCATTACCTGAGGCAGTCGAGATATTTACCAGGTAATATTCAGTAATATTCCTTTTGAGGAGTAGACCTCAGCTCTGAGGAGGAGTGTCCACGTGTGCTTACACAGTCATCATTTTTCAGAGTCAACTCTGGTTTAGTTTCAGTTTGCGTTCTGATGGTTCAGCAGAACAATCACAGGATTTTTGAGGTAGCAGATGTAACTGTATGCTTTGCATTAAAATGCCAAACTGAAAAGGGTTCAAAACATGTTCATGCAGTTAGGCAGTACCTCATTAAAAATTCAATAAGCAAACTTAGCGTGCACACAGACTGTATTCACCTTTTTTTGTTCAAGATTTATTTTTTCCTCGAGGATCGATGGGTTCCAGGTGCACAGCGGTGCTACTCATCCGGGGTTGCAGCTAGGGGGCGTGTCTCTCTGGATAGACGAGCAGGAGTTTAAAGACAAGTTTTTTTGACCCTGGGATAGATTTTCAGATGTCTTATTGGTGACAAAATCAAAAACAGGTAGCATCCAAAATAAATGTACATGCCATATTTTCTTAAAAATAAAAATGTTATTACCTTTGTAAACAATAACGGTGTGATCTAAGTATGAGGAGTTTCTTTGTCACTTCAGAATCTAAAGCAATACAGCAAATAAATACTGAACAATTTAGGATAGTGTACATTTTAAATCAAAGAGAACTCACTTTTTGAGACATTTCTAGAGAAGATTTTTTGAAAGATAGATGGATGGATACTTTATTGATACAGAGGGAAATGCAGCTGTAAGTTAGGTATCAGATGCAGGTAGTGAAGAGTCAAAGAGGAAGGGATCGTCCACCTCTGCTGTGCACCATAAATATTCATAAATATATATTTTTTGGTTAGGAGGAATTAGACTGCTCTCTCTTTCGTCCTCAGGCATTAGCACAAAGAAGAACGTGGCCATAAATGCCAGTAAAGACTTCACTGGCAGCCATCTTTGGGGAAACAGCAGTATCCCCTTTGGAGGGACTCTGCCGAGCAGAGGAGCTCACGGTAACCCTCACAAGATGTCTACACTGTTATCTTTGCAGCTTTATGTTTCCATTGTTACTAAATAAATGGATCTGTGTTTGTTTGTTCGTTTGAAATGTCAGGTACAAACACAATCCCAGGTGGATACATGCCATCGTTTTACAAGAAGGACCTCGGCTCTGCTGGTCACAGAGGGCAGCAGGGTCCTACAATGGAATCAACAGCATCAAGTGAGGATTGGATTTCAGAGCTTTCTGTTAACGGGTCATTCATTGATCTGATGTGGTTTATAGTGTATTAAAGGTCACATATTATCCTTCTTTTCAACAAGTTTAAATAAGTCTCAGCGCTCCCAAAAACATGTCTGTGAAGCTTTCTTCCTTTTTCCATTTTTTTTAAAACCTCAATTTTTCAATTTTGCTGTTTCTGTAGATTATGCAACATGGCAGTCCGGTCGGAGTCACATGAGCACCTCTGCTAGCACAACGATGGTCAACAAGAGCACCTCCGGCCTGCTGCCTCGCCCTCCGGTTCAGAGCATCCACGGGCGAACAGACTGGTCTGCCAAATACGGACACCGCTAGTGCCGTCTCCATGGAGCCTCGTTACTCTTTCACCTCCAAAGAGTAGGCCTAGTCGTTTTATAATCAAACCTGTACATACATCTTACACAGCAATAATATCTTCTTCTTTTCTGTTGTTGTATGTATTATGGATGTTTGTGAGCTGTAAATTATCAAAGTGGATGTGTAAAGCTTGATGCAACCGGCCAAGATTTGAGCCTACTTTGCTCCTCTGTGTTTTTTTTATTTTGTATTTGTGTAACAGAGCTGCTGTCTGGATTAAAGACAGGCTTTTCATTTCAGTAAGATTATAAAATGCAGGTGGTTGCCACATTGTGCAATGCTTTTCTTTTGCAAGTAAAATGGTCCAAGTTAATATATTCTGCTTGGCCTTTTGAGTGTGATCATTGAATATCCAGTTATCGAGTATCATTAAACTTTGAACTGGGCGCCAACATGTTTGATCTGTGTTATTTTTTCAGGAAACACTCGTTGACATGCCGGCTGTCGGCGTTTGTTTTCTTTTTTTGAGGTTTATTTTGGGGCTTTTTATGACATTATTTTAGAGACAGGACAGTGGATGGTGTCGGGGGAGAGAGTGAGTGCAGGAGTGGAGCCACAGGTCAGATTTGAACCCGGACGGCCCGCTTGGAGTACTGTAGTCTCCACACATGGATGCCACAGTGGGCGCCGTCTGTCGACCTTTAAAAGAATGTTTGAATGTTACCTCTTAGTAAATTGTGTGTGTGTGTGTTTTACAGCTGCACTGCAAAATGTAATCCCCTTCAGATTAATCTGTCTGTAGTAGCTCTCTGTTAATGCTATACGTACATAAATCCAGTGCATCCGGTCACATGATGTTCAGATCCTTTTTACTAGAGTGAGCCATACATGTTAACAAGAGATATTGTTACAACCCGGTTCTAAGGCTGCAACAACAACAAATGTGAGACGAAGACGAAGTATATCAAAGTAACACCACATTCATTTACAACGTAATTAAAGAGTGAGTGAAAAAAAAAGAAACAACCAGTACACAGGAGGAGAGAAAATGTGTGTCTGGAGAGAAGGGATTATATTGATGAGGAGATGTGGACTACACCAGGACCAGGTGCAGGCCGTCTCCTTGATTGCAACCCCGCCTCGACCAGAACCGGCAAAACAGGAACACCTAGTCGTGAGGAGGAGTCGTCACAATGGGAGACATTGAAGTTTCATAACAACACACATGACTTTTCAAATATCCAACATGGGTCATTTTTAAAGCTCTACTACACGATGAGTTCATTACTCTTAAAACAAAGGTATCATAAAGCTGCTCTGTGTTACTGATACAGTATCTTATATGGTTGACATTTATTACCATGTTTTTCCATGTATATGATCAGTTCCATGTCAGAGTGACTGTGCACATTTCTTTGATGCTTTTCTAAATCTGAACACAATATTTGCATGCTGCTTTCTATGCTGTTAAAGGTAACACAGATTATTTTCATGCTTAAAATGTACTTTTTAGATATAGCATTCTTAAAGTTACAATGAAATGCTCCACACACATTCATTCTCATCTTTTCCATGAAGAGTGTACTTTTCTGAAATGTAATTCAGGACTGACTTCTGTTTGAACTGACCTCATGGGAACTTGTGAACATGAGATGTCTAAACAGACGCTCAGCAGCAGGTGGAATAAAACACTTTTACATGGACACTTTTTATGTGACTACATGATATCACAAGATTCTTTCCAACGTGTGGTCTTTTTGTCATCTGGTTGCTTCACATGTTGATGTCAGCAAAAATCAAAAATTGGAAGTTCATGTGACTTGGGAACAGACCAAAGAGTACACAGAAAAGATATGACCTTTAAATGTGATTTCTGAATCTGCCAGAAAACAGTGGATTGATAGGCTACTATTTTTTCTTTTTAAGTTGTGGACCTACTAAAGGAAATGTTTTCCACACATGGTTTAAGTAGGCTATTTGGAATGATTCATGTTATAAGTAAACGAGACATATACCAAATATTACTGAATGCAAATAGCAAACTTAATGAAACATTTACTTTTCTAAAAACTCAATACAAATGCTATGGAGACACAAAGTTCAACTCGTTATATAATAATGAATAGTAGAAAACTACAAAGGAGAGGGGCGGGAATAAAACATCTTCAGACAGTGATTGGTCAGTTAATCGGGAGTCATTCACAATAGGCTACTCAGTCTAAAGTCCACTACTAAATCCTTAACTATATGCTTTTGAGTGAGAATTATAACCAACTTCAAAGTACACTGAATTTATCTGGGAAAGTGAAATAAAATCCAATGGTTACTAACCAAACACAATTTACCACAATGCATTGCGCAGCAAGAAGAAAATTAGTAAAGGTGTTTTAACGGCGTACTGCATAGACTACATGTTATGTTACATTATTAGAAGTATAATGGCGTACAGAAAAAAATGTCACCGAAACACCCCAGTAGGATAAAAATGCATTTACAAGGCTTTCAGTTTAATAAGTCATGTCTTAGTCTTGTGGCTTATATTGTTTTGTCTAGTTTACAATTTTTTTTGTATTATGAATGTATTTTCTCTTTCTCGCTCATAGCCCACTATTTCCTTTTCCTGCAGCCTATCTGTTCTCTTTATTATTAATAACAAGCGGTAAGTGTTTTTGCTAATGATGTGGATCAGGGATGGGCAACTTCGGTCAGAGCAAGGGCCACATTCATTTAATTCTCACTGCCAGAGGGCCAAATTATAGTATACAAAAATGATTACAGTCGATTATGTCTCAAATTTAACTTAACATATACAAGTGATCAAATATTATTATGGACATATTTCTGGTTTTCATGATTTCATGGCAGATTTTGTCATGTTTCCAATTAACTGATGTGTAAAAATTGACCTGAGGGCCACGTAGGGGATTGATGGGGGCTGCCAGTTGCCCACCCCTGATGATGATTTTTCTACATGTGCATGTGTGTTTCAGCCTACCATTTCTCAATAATCGTGTTTAAAAGAGACATCTCCACATGGTATTATTAAGGATATCGTCTTAATGCTTTACTTTTAACAGCTGTTAACTTTTGTAATTTAAATAGAAAAAGGAAGGCAGACTGCCACGTGCAGTGCCGCATTTGGATGTGTCTGACGCTTGGAGCTTAACTTCCCTACGTTTCTCCTACAAATGGGCCTTGAGCTTGTTTGGAGGTTCTAGCAGGGGAGCGCAGCTACTGGTATACCGATGATGGTCGTCCGCCGGGACGTCGTCCTCATCGACCGAGCGCGGAGCTTCGGGAGGGACACACATGGAGTGGTGAGGGAGGAAGGGGACACCCGCCTAGCCAGCCAGATCAGCCGAATCAACCCTAGCGATCAATGGGGTGACAGATGTCGCAGCCAGATCGCCCTCACATCCAAGAGAAGAAGAGAGGGGCGTGTGGTATATATAGCTGCATGTACGACTACCAGTTTCTATCACGGTTTTACCGGGTGTCACACATCGACATGTTCGCTGTGAATTCTGTACATTTCCCATTTCGACTTGGTTGTGTTTTATTTTATTTTTTATATCATATATTATATATTTATTTTATTTTATTTTATTTTATTTTATTTTATTTTATTTCACTTTATTTTTTATTTTATTTTATTTTTTTATTTTTTTTATTTAACCAGGTTGGTCCCATTGAGATTAAAACCCTATTTTTTCAAGGGACACCTGGCCAAGACAGACAGCAGCCTGTTTATGACGTAAACTACGTACAAAGTCGAGAACGAAGATAAACATTGCTTGAACGCTAGAACGTCTCAATATATTTCCCATGATGCCTAGCGGTAAAAAAGAAATTCCAATGAGCCATGATTCTATTGGGCGGACACAACCAATCACCACCTTCATGTGTTTCATTCCCCCTTATCTAACATTTTTTTCAACAATACAATATTATATAACGAGTTAAACTACACTTTGAAAGTCCCACTCCACCTTGATTTCGCACGGTAGTCGACTCACTCTGCAGGTGTGGACCAAAGACATGGTTAACTAAGTCTCTGTGAAGGTACATGCATTTGTATTCAGTTGTTTGTGATTTGTTTTCTTCTCCTTTTTAGTTTGCGTTCAACATCTTAAAAAAAAGAAAACACTGTAGCCATGGCTGGAAGAGTTGTGCTTCATTACTTCAATGGGAGAGGGAAAATGGAGTCAATCCGCTGGCTTCTGACTGTTGCAGGGGTTGAGGTAAGAAAAAAACAAAACTTTTACTAATTTGTCTATTTTACTGTGGGGAACCCTAAGCCTCTTGAATGTGCAATAAATTTGTTTTTAAATCTTGCTTTCACAGTTTGATGAGGTCTTTCTGACAACTCGTGATCAATATTTAAAACTTTTAAGTGGTAAGTTGGTTTCCAAATTGTATTTTTTTTTTTTTAAGCTAAAATCTTGTCTGTGTGCTCTTTTGGCCTGTTTCCAAGTCACATACGTTCTTCAGTTCGGTTTGTCTTCTGTGGTTTTTTTTTTTGCTCTCAACTTCAACCCATATGTGACGCAACCATAGGACGCAACCTGGGATTTGAGGTGGAAGTGAATGTATCTAGTAGCCTGTCTTGTGACCTGTGTATAGACTGAACATGTTGCATTTATGATCTACAACTGGGAGTGCCCCTCTGAATGACCTGCTTGCTGCTGTGCTTTCAGATGGAGATCTCATGTTTCAACAAGTTCCCCTGGTGGAAATCGATGGCATGAAGCTTATTCAAACAAAGGCAATCCTGAATTACATTGCAGAGAAGCACAATCTTCATGGAAAGAACGATAAAGACCGAGTCAAGTACGAGGCATTTTATCAACGTGTGTAGCCGTCATTATAATACGCCATTTATTAGATGAATGTATAATTGTTTGTGCTGATGGTTCCCCCTCAGGATCAACATGTACGCAGAGGGACTGCAGGATCTGATGGAGATGATCATGATGCTGCCCTTCATCAAAGATCCCAAAGCCAAACTGGAGGAAATTGAAACTAAAGCAAAAGCACGCTACCTTCCTGTGTTCGAAAAGGTACCACTGTGCATCTTGTCTGTTTTTTGTTTTTTTTTTTTAAAAGAGCTGGCGATGAGTGCATAGGATTGTGTAAGAAAATCAAATGAGATTTTGTGTGTGCATCTCAGGTGTTGGGTGAGACTGTATACCTGGTGGGAGGTAAGATGAGCATGGCAGACGTGCTGCTGATGGAGTGCACCCTGATGCTTGAGGAGAAATTTGTCGCAATCCTAAAGGACTTCGGCAACGTCAAGGTAAAATGTCTTCCTATGAAACTCACGTTTGCTTTCACAGCAGTGCACAAAAATAAATAATCCACCTCTTGTTTATTCTGTTTCTTCACTTCCGTCCAGGCTTTCCAGGGAAGGATGACGGAGTTTCCCGCCATCAAAAGTTTCCTGGGTCCTGGCAGCAAGAGGAAGCAACAGCCAGATGACAAATACGTGGAGACCGTCATGGAGGTGTTTGATATTAAAAAAATGCCGTTCTTATAAACTCTGTAGAAGGTGGTTCATTCCTCTCATGCAGTATAAAGCAAAAGTCAGACTATACATATGCATTAGTTATATTTTCTCTTTATGTTGAGAGGAATACTGCACTATATGTCATTAAAGAGCTAATTTAATTAGCACACATTTAATCAAAATCTTTCATATGACTCTGTAACTCAAGATTGTACTAAATAAATTCAATTTTTTAGGAACATTAGAGATGCTGTTGTGTTGCTCTGTTATTTTAACACCACACTTTTCACATTGAAGGAAATGCACCGTACTTAAGTTCACGAGAATTTTCTTCAAAGGCAGGGTTGGTCCGTTTTGAAAACTAGCTTGATTTTGAAAGTCGCATTCCCTCAGTGCTCCGTCAACACCCACCTCTTTCAAAAGCCACACCCCTCACTTGCATGCATCAGCTGACCTCAGATCTACAAAAGCAAACAAGACTCTACAAGTAAATATACTATGTCTGTGTAGTTCTTCTTTAACAATCGGTCGCCTTGTAAAAAAATGTAGCTGGAGAATTAAGAGTCACAAGTTTATTAGGTTTTCTTTTATTAAAAAATAATCACATTTAAAATTATTTTTTAAAGTCAAATATACAAGATATACTGTGGCATGTAAGTAGTCATGAATAAAATGTTTTAGTCTTTGAGCCCTAGTAGCAGCATAAACAATAAACACTGTATCAAGAGTCGACAAACAGGCACCCACAAAGCTCACATCCATTTACCGTGCTGCAGACGAGGTGATGATACATGATGAAAACTAAACCTGTCATATCAGAGATGCACGGACTGGAAACATCAGGGCTGATACCGATGATCGTTTCATGACTTCTTAAGGTCTACTACACATTGGCTAGATGCCAGCTTTAAATTAATTTGGCACAACGAATAAAATCAGTTCATGCCACATTATTTCCCGATGTGCAAATGTTTGTCAGCAGGGCCGATACTGTCCGATAACGATGTTGAAACAATGCATCCCTAATATATATGATGATACAACAGTAAGTTCTGACCAAGCAATCCTCATCAGTTTCTATGCTCCTTATATCTGGAACAAACTCCCAGAAAACTGCAGGTCTGCTGAAACTCTCAGCTCTTTTAAATCCAGGTTGAAGACTCACCTGCCTTTCATTAAACAGCTTTAATAAGAATTTAAATTTTAACTCTTTTTATATTTTTTACTTTATTTATTTCAATTAATTTTATTTGAACAGATGTTCAGGTTTAGTATTCCAGTGATTTTTTTTTTTTTTTTATTTTTTTTTAATGTTCTATTTTAATATTTCTTTTCTTTCCTCTGTCATGATGCGTTTGATGTCTTGTGTGAAGCACTTTGAATTGCCTTGTTGTTGAAATGTGCTGTATAAATAAACTTGCCTTGCCTAATGGACAAGAGGCCTTCCATGAGTGGCGATAAAGGAGAACAACATCACTGGGACTTTTCACAATGTGTATCACTCCGCCTCAGCCTGGAGTTCTGAATACTATTAATTTGACATTTACAGCTGTACATGTCAACAGTGTTGTTCTTTATTCATCAATCTCATAACCTCAGAATCACACAACGGGTCCCTTATCAAACTGGTTTTCATGACTGATGATTCATTTATGTTAACACACAAGTAAATGGTTGTACTACAAAGTAGCTGCTCTGTGGTAACCATGGACACCATCAGATTGCGTTAGAATAGAATGTTTGTGTTGCTTGGCAACAGATGGGGAACTAGTTGAGTTGGTGGAGTTATACAATAATCTGTTGTTGAGTTTTACTTTTTAGCACTATTTTGTATTAGTGTTGTATAAAAGTAATATCACACTCGATGTTGAGATGTTGTACTGAATATCAGCTCATGTGTTTATCTTCAGCTGAATCCCAGCAGGTATGATATTCAGTACAACATCACTCCCTCTCGTGTGATATGACTTAAGATAACATGAGTAGACAGATGCTCTAAAGTCAGTTTAACAAACATTGGTGGCATTTGCAAAGATTTTGGTCACATGATTGTTAAGTTTCTACACAAAAACAAAAGACTTGTTGGCGTATGAAAACTTGGAATGATGTTTCCTTTCAAAACGAGGCTTGTTCACATTGAGGCACAGAGAGCTTTCCGTCTTGTCCGTGTTGTTCTTAAAGTCACGCCATGAAGAGGAGTAACAGCCGAAACACCATCAACAGACTGCGAGAAAAGAAACAGACAACACATCAAAAAGCGTTATAAAGGTAATGTGTTACTTCATCGTTTCACAATCTTTGATTTGCTCAGTAAACTTTACTGTGTGTTCAGCAAGTCGGTCTCTGACCTTAGCCCTGCCATGATGCCAGCAGGCATTATTTTGCCAGATTTCTTATATCGCAACCCCATCACGAGTGATAAGACTCCTGCAGCCACTGCAAGACAGAAAGCACAATTACATGACAACAGCTGGATCCTTCTGTAAATCAAGAGAACTTGAATGAGCTACTCACACAATGAGAACTTGATGTCCTTAGAGTCGTTAGAGACGTTGAATGCACCATAAGCAGATAATCCACCAAACACTAAACCAGCCATCAGGGACATCACACTGCCTACAATGCAACACATCACATGATGAGAATCAGGGTTTATTATAACGATCATCTGAGTGTGAGTTCGCCGTCTGCCCCAAGAACTCTAAGTGTGCGATTTTGACCTTTTCTCTTGTAGCCCATAAATCCTCCAAAGGCGATGGCCGCAGCATAGCCGAACCCGATCCAGTCCACTGCCATCACAAACCTGTGAACAGAAATAAAACACACAAAAAGTCTGTATTTATGTTGAGCTACGACTTTAAATAAATAAGACCTGGAAATGTTATTGAATTGAAGTTACTGTTTTACAAATTCTTTTACAAAAATATGTAGACTTTGTTTGTAAAGATTTCCTTCCACCGTGAGAGAGCACGTCCTGTGTGAGCAGGGAAAACAGTCCTTATCAAATAAATACTTCCTTCAAAATAAAAGAGTCCCTATAAAGATATGAACAAAGAGAAAACAAGTGGAAGCGCTTACAGTATGTACAGGAAACCGACAATACAAAAATAAACAAATGTGCAATCAACAGCTTTTTTTTTTTAACAGAATAATAGATGAAAGCAATGAAAGCATGCTGTTCAAGCCTCACATTTTGTCTGGAATGAACAAGTTTTGAGTGTTTTTTTAAGATTAAATTGACAAGAGAAAGGTACAGGTGTATGACCTGCTAATATTTATTCTATTTAGGATTAAGGGGTTATAGTGGTGATTTTTTTGGTGGAAAAAATCTTAATAAAAGTTCAATCAAACATAATCAAAAGGCCACTGATGCACCGCGGGGATGTGGTGTGCGCAGGCAAGAGAAGTTTTCTGAAGGTTTGTTCTGCAAAAAGAAAGCAGCGAACAAAATAACAGAAACTCAAGTGCTGCCTCTCTTGTGCAGCTGGTAACAGAAACCACAGGCCCACCCAGGTGCATGCTGGTCCTCTACCTGTCGTCTTACCTGCAGGTGCCCCACAAGGGCTGTTGGAACAAAATCCAGGATTCGGTTTATAAATAGAATAAGTAACAAACCCCATTCATATTTGAAAGCTGAGATCAGTATTAGAGTGCCTGTTTAAAAAAAAAGTTTGTACATGTGTGCAACCCTCACCCTTCTCCTCTTCACCTCTCATTAACATCACACAGGGGTCAGGATTTAAGGATTTCATGCTGCAGCCATCACTGACAGTTGAGAAACTCTGTCATTTTTGGCCTGCCCTCTAGTGAACAAAATGTGTAACTACATGCGAATGAATGCATTTAAAAATATAAGCATGCATGCATATTTAATATTAATATTTGATTATAAAATTCGAGGAATAATAAAAAATGACATTTGAATGAGATAGTAGATGAAGATTGACCTCAGTGCTCACAGTGCAAATAAATAACTTCTACCAACAAGAGTAATAAACACAAATAAGTCAACTATTTCAGCACATTACTTGTTTTTATCATCAAACTCCGACCCGTGTTGTGAATGAATGTTCCTGCAGGACGCTGTCACACCTCTAGGGGTCAATGTGAGACCGACAGTGATTGAACACAACACAGAAAGTGCGCACTTAAACGCATCTTTATGCAATTTGAAGATATGAAGTCACTTCACGTAGACTTAGTTTTCTGTTTCAGTATTATTGTAAAGTTAGTGGAATCGTCTGAGTGTTCAACATACCTTGAGTCCAAAACGTGAACAGCAGCTCTTCAAAAAAAAATTGTATCTTCGATCTGCGACTGAACTTCCTTGTTACTGCCCTAAAATCGTAACACGCATGCGCACTTTGGTTCGTGAGACGTTCGATGGTTTTAGAAAAAGTTGGAACGTACGGTTACATATTTCTTTTGCTCGAAATTACACGACAAACCCAAAACAGTCTTAAATCTCTTTAACTACCTCACGCTTAATTTATCGATTCCTCTTTCCCCCTGATTGTTTTACGGATTGAATGCACACTTATACTTTGTCCAAATGCTGTATGCATTCTGTAGAAATGGTGTATTTCTCATGCACACACATGTTTTATGACATTTCTGAAATGCTTATTGTGCCTGTGTGGAGCACTTTGAATCTCCTGCTGTCTGAAAGGTGCTATACAAAACAAATTGGGGACAATGTTCAAAGAAAATGTGTTATTTTTCAAAAATATATTAAAATTTGATGTGAATAAGCAAAAAAAATTGAATTTCATTCACAGACTGTAAATGCTTTTGTCAAGCGTGTCCAAATAAAAGGAAAAAGGTACGTTCATAAGAGTACTTCACTCACATCTATGAAAGAGCTCCAGTCTTCTAGTCATCGTGTTTTCAGGGCAGTTCGGCAAAAGAGAGAAAACTTTGACTCTTCCCAAAGAAAAAGAAAACAATTTATTTCATTCTGATCCTCAGTTCCAAAACGTACACACATTAAAGGTTTCATCGTTTTAATTATAGACCTCAGAAAAGTGTAATAAATGCATTCTTAGAGCAAAATAAGCCACTATGAGCTGTAGACATTGTGACCACATGCTGCAGTGAGCAGCAGCTCCAGCAGAGCGCCCCCCCCATGCAGTCACCTGGTGGAAAAGAGCTACTGAGTCCCTGTGAGGGCTGAGGACCGACTCCTCCAAAGAGAAGGCACACATTTCCAAAAAATCCGTTGGCATTGAAATACTGTCTACATAGAGATTTCCTGATGAATTACAGTCGGATCCTGTCAGGATTAAAAATGACTATAAAATGGCTGACGAGGATCATCTTTAAAAACGAGGAAGGATTGTTCAAGTGAGGTATAGGAGCGACATGTAAAAACCATGAGAGATACTGAACCATCAGCATGAGGAGAATCAAAGACCGACTGAAGAGGAAGACGAGACTGAAAGCATGTAAAGTGACATGTGTGGAAAATGCAAAGGTTCTCACAGTAAACAGCAAACAGAAGAGAGGTACAGTGCATTAAACATTACAGTGAGAATTATAATACAAATGGCTTCGAGTGCACAGGAACCTGTGAGAGACTGTCAACATGGCTTTATCAGCGGGTTTTTTTTTGCTTGGTTAATACTTTCATGTGAGCTGTAACAGAAGTAACAACTGCATTTAAAGGTCGCAGACCGACAAATAAACAATACAAAATGAGATTATAATCTATACAGACAAAACAAACAAACAAACAAACAAACAAACAAACAAACACAGGATTCTTTGCTGGCATTAAAAGAAGTTTTCTCAACGTAAAACTCAACGTTGAACATTGTTGTTGTAAATTCAGCAGGTCTTGGCAACGTTTGACATTTTGAGGTTTCAAGGAATATTTTTACATTAGTAGAACTTTTTTTTTAAAAACACACATCCTCTACATGAAGGGGGGGGGGGTCAGCAGAGACAAAGAAAAATGTTCAACAATATTCATGCGAGTCAAATCAAGAGCTCGATGTTGGGAATGAAAACACTCTCATACATTGATACATGTTTGTTTTTTTCTCCCCCCCTGGCTACATTCATTATCAGTATGAAACGAGGAAGTAATGAATACTTAAACAAAGCAGCTGGTGTCATGTGTGTTTGAGCCCCTAAAGACCGCATGTTGTTCCACTAATGTAAAAAATAAATAAATGTCACTTTAAATGAGCAAAGTGCATTATCGTCCTGACACGGGACGTAGCATAAGTAAGAGAGAGCATTATAACCGATGTCAATGAGTCAGTGCACTGATCACTTAGACTGTGTGTGAGCTCCACACAGCAGCTTGTTGGGCTCCTTTAATTTAATTTGAAAGTACTCTACACTTCGATGACATGTAAGAGCTTTAAAAGTGGTCAATGTCTGATGGAAAGGTGAGCATGCGAGAGCACTAATTTGGCTAGATCTAATGGAGGGAGAATTATTTTAAGTTAAATAGAATAAGTATATATATATATTTATGTTTTGTATCTATTTCATAGTACAGATCATATTGGGTAACTCTCTTTTCCCATCACACTAGGCTGCGATATCAAAGTAACACGAGGGAACACTCAGCACACAAAAAAAGCTCAACATTTCTCCTCATCTCTGTTCAGCTTTCAGCTCAAGGTCTCCAATGAGCCAGACATGTTGGGAAAATGTCCCAGCCACTTCATCAGACGCTGCAGCTCTGCATTAGATGAACACACCTCGTGTTGTTCGGATGCAGGGAAAACAAAACAAACAAAAAAAAAAACGGCGCCGCCTCGCTCATGTCTGTTGTGCGTGTCATGGTGGCAGCCTCGGCCCTGTTCGTTAAGGGAAGACTTTCACCCACAGCCAGCCCAGCAGCGTCCCGTACACCCAGGTCCGCACGTACAGTTTCCTGCCGCTCTCCGTCAGCAGTAATGGCAGTGTCAGGCCCCCCCAGGATCACCACTGATGGGAGGGTTTTAGAGAGGTTCAGAGGAGAAGGTTTGCCTTCCCCGGGGAACTTGCATATTTTATCAGCATCGTCCGACTCGTAGAAGTCCGTCAGCAGCCTTTGGAAAAAGACAGATTACTCTCTTAGGGGTTCAGCCTGTCTCAGAACGTACAGACTACAGAGGTGATCGAAACACTGAAGAAAATCTGACTGACAAAAGTTTACATCAGGATTTTTACAGCAACTACAGCACAAAATATCTGCACCCAAAATCACATCAGAGTTTTGTTGCTCGGCTTGTGTTGTCAATAACGATCTCAATCGATTATAAAGTTTCATCGTACAGACTTTGGAATTGAATGATCGATCAATTGATGGTCTTTGAGGAGTTTTTTTTAAGTTGAGCACAGCCAGCTCCGTTTGTGAAAAGCGTTTTGTAAATCACAGCTTTTAATGAATGCTTCTGGATTTAATCATATTCCCTCCTGTGTGACCTCCATTTAATAATTACTTTCATTATCTGTAAACCTGAATCCAATCATTACTTGTTAATTAAATATCAGACAATAGTGACTATCCTCAATGTGTCTTATTCATGTCATGCCATCATTGCTTCCATAAAACATTAATAAAGGAGAAGATATTTGAAATGAAAATGTGCACCCAGAGGAAATGTTGGCCTTTCCTTCTGCAACTATGACTTTGATTGGACAACACAATTATTAATGCAGTTAAGATTTATCCAGCACACACTCTATATCTTTGTCTGGACTTTGCTATAATAGAAACTGCTCCAATTAAATTTAATTTAATGGAAAAACTACCACACGTAACGCTTCGAGCCCTCGCCCTTCATCAGACAACGGACTATTTTTCTACCTTCGGATGTTTTTCGTTCAGCACCCAGTCCTTGAGATTTTTTTTTATGTATTTTGCAATACAACATGACATTTATATTTTGCTTGGTTTTTAAGATCAACCTTCCTGAATACAGATTTCAACATAAATGTGATTATTTTTTAACTACAGAGAGAAGTTGCTTATTTCCCTCCAGTTTCGTGCACCCTCTGTTATGACTCCATGAATCCCCTAGGAGGCTGGGCATCCCATCTGAGATCAACTTGTCAATATTTAAAAGGGGAATACACAAAATGTAAAAAGCTGATTTTTATTTTGAGCTCTTTCGGTGCTCATGCAGAAGCTTCTACAAGCTACGATACATATAATGGGCTTACACACCTTTGTCCTGCAAAAATGGAGCGTTTAAAACCTCACTCACGTCGACATACTGACTGAATAACGTGTAATTCTGACACGATGAACTATTACGCCCACACACTTACCGGTCCTTGATTTCAAAACGCTCGTGCAGCCACCTGCGGAAGAACATTGGCTCCGAAGGAATTTCCTTTATGTCCACACGGTCGAAGTGTATGTGGACTCGGGGAAATTCTTTGCACAGGAATTCTGTCAAACACAAAAAATAAATAGACTAAACAAAAACAGGAAAAGCCTTTCAGCAAAACGGCACGTAGAGTAAGCACTTAAAATCAACACGAGGTGACACTGAGGGTGGATGACTCTGTGATGCGAGGTCCCTTTGATTCAAAGAATGAAGACTTGTACCTGCAGCCACTTGGTCTCCAACCCCACTCACCACGTTTCAAATAAAGTCAGAGTCCCAACAACATACTATTTATTTATATTATTTATAGGAGATTAGATTAGATCAGTTCTGGCAGATAAATGTTCCTGAAATAAAGTCTCAGAGCAGAAAGAAAACCAAAGTGTTGAAGAAGGTCAGACGTAAAAATGTAAAAAGTGTGAAGGCTCAAGGCTACACATGCACCCCAAGAGACCTTCAAGTTCCTGTTTCCACAACATGCAATATTATCAGGAAACCTGGCACCGCGGCCGAAAGAGGAAACTCGATCGAAGTCAGCAGCGAAAGGTTGCTTCACTGGTGGAGAGCGCGCTTCAATCAGCTGCTGCAAAGACTCAAAATGACCTTCGGAGACAATCTGTGCCAGTTCAATAAACACTGACCGAAGAGTGTGCAGAAGGCTGAGGTGAAGAGACGGACGAAAAAAAACACACATGAAGTAGCCAAAGTCAATCTTAGAAGTAAAGACGGCCTTCCTTCCTCACACATGGAGGAGTTTGAGTGCCAAACAGGTGCTGGCACAGAGGGATAATAACACTTGTAGCGCGTTTCATAAATAAGTGCTTAACCCACAAAAATAAGGTTGATCTCTCACTGCAGGTCACGGGTGTTGATGAAGGAAGTCTTTGCTTAGTGGGACAAACAAAACCCCTTTCATAAACTCCAGTAAAGCTGAAATACAGGGCATTAACATGTTTAATATTTAAGGCTGTCTGCACATAAAGAGACTCAACGGTGACCAGGGAACTCGTTTATTGATATTTAAAGTACATGATAGTGGATGATTTATGTTTTTAAAGTTGTTGTTTTTGCCTTTTGTGCCTTTATTGGAGAGATAGGACAGTGGACAGAGTCGGAAATCAGGGAGAGAGAGAGAGAGAGTGGGGAATGAAGTAAGGGAAAGTAGCCTAAATTGGGATTTAAACCCAGGCCGCCCGATCCAAGGACTACAGCCTGTGAACATGGGGTGCACAAACTAACCACTCGGCCACTGGTGCCCCAGACGATTTATATTTATTTTCTTGTCTCGTTTGGTTTTGAAGTTTTTAATCCCCTGAGGATTTCGAGTTCTCAGCAGAACAACATTAAAATCAAGATTCAGTTAAAATGCCAACGCTTCAGTCCAGAGATTCAGTCCTGCCAATTTAGTGAAATACGTTTAAGGGAGTCGAGCATTTTCCTGATATCAGCTTTTGTGAGCCACAGTTGACAGACTTGTGTCTCTTCCTTCAGTTTAGTTTTTCTAAAACCAGGCTTGACGTTCAGAATGATAAATTTCTGCCAGGCAAAGTTCCTGCATTGTTCCGTTTCAGGAATACTGATCAGTCTTAAGTTAAGAAAAGGTCATTAACAGGAAATGTGTTTTTGATTTTATAAAGGATGGCGGGACTGCTTCAAAATATCAAAAGTACGACTTAAAGCACCTTCTTGTTGTAATAGGTTGAGCTGTTTTATTTTGAAGTTTATTAAACAAATGGCTGATCGGCTTGGATTTCTCAGCTGTAATAGTTCATAACTGTAGTTTAAAGTGCTGTTATTATTCAACATGTTCAATTAGTACAAGTGTTTCCGACAGATAGACGATACCTGGGCAGGCCGAGAGAGAGCATGCTCTATCTCTCCCACACTTTTCCCCCCGGCTCCGTGCAAAACTGAAGCTTTTCATCTCTTAATACTGTTAATATCTAGTGGAACTTTTTAAAACGCGAAGCATAGTTGTTGTGTTTGTAGTTGTTTGGGTGCCCACCCCCCCACCGCCCAGGTATCTTGTCATTCTGTGGGAAGCACTGAGTACTAAAGGGAACTGGCTGATTCCCTTTATGTCTTTACAAGTAATGATCTCGCGCACTACTCTCGCTAGGCATCAACAATTTATTAGGAAAAGTGTCCAACGTTCTCTTGAGAGAAAACACTTGACAAAGGTTCAGAGGGACCGAAACGTTGTGATGCCTAGCAAGAGTAGTATGCAGGATTTTTTCTTTTCAAAGTGACAGTTTGATGTCCTACTCCACTACTTCATGAGATAGTTGGATGTGCAAACACCTCCTTTAAACATTGTTTATAATTTAGGATGTAACACATGAATACACATTAAGTCTATTCTAAGCCCTCTTCTTATAAGTCACACACCTCAGAGTCCTTTTTTTTTTTTTAAAAATCACAACAGGCTGAACTATTTACACTGACAAGGAAATATTCCTCAGATATAAAAACAGAAAGGATGTCAATAACTGAAACAATGAGGGTCCGTAGCTCGAGTCACTTCCACCTCCTTGTGAAATCTCTAAAGTCACCTTCTCCACGGGAGATCAGGAAGTGCGTGATGAGAGGAAAGCTTTTCTATTCTCTCTGTTCTGTTTTCTGGAAACACGTCCATGTTTATTCCTGACTGAAGCGGGATGTTGTTTTTTTTTTTTTTTTTACATTCAGACTGTTTGTTGGAACAACTGGGAAAACAGAGAATAATCAAAAACTCCAAAACACGGAGTCATGCTGTTTACAGGAAGGCACGACTGTTAACAGGTAATGTTTGCTACGAGATTACGCAGTGAGGTGCATACAAGGCTGCAGGACTGATGATGTGACGCCGCCTTTGTGTCTATGCAGACACTGATTAACAGAAAGTATACCACAGCTGCTCTCTACATTCATATCTGGTCTTAAATATTTTTCTCTCCATTCACCCATTTCATGCACAATATCAATGTTGATTCTGCCGTCACTGAAAACAAATCTCGATATGCAAATGAGTTGGGAAGGTCAGCTGCTTTACAATTAGTAAAGGGACACAATGCACTTTTATTAAGATCCGAGGAGAAAGAAATGAAGATGTGCAGAATGTATTTGTCTGCACTCTGCATGCATTTCAACTCTGCATAAATATTTATGTTTCCTCATCCACATTTAAATGCAACTTATGTTATTGGGGTATTTGGCAAGTACTGGAATGTTAAAATGTTATTCAAAGTAGCGGCAATTTTTAGGAATGTGTAAGAACAGGAAAGGAGCCACAAGTAGGCAGAATAGATTATCCTGAAGTCCACTGTTGAGACTTGCACGCCTGTAAACTGCGAGAACATTTCCAGGAAGCCTGCCCATTAAATCCTCCAAAACACTTCTTCACACATCTCGGTCTCGGAGTGCAACAAATCAAGTCAATAAGCTGCTGTAGAAGTTACGATTTTAGGTTTATTACATATCAAAAAGGGCAGATGAGGCAAGAAGATAGTTTTTGTCTTTACATTAATACTTCCTGTAATGAGTCGATTCACAGCATAAAGGAAGGAGTGAAAAAGAACGGGACTGCGAGTGGAAAAGAGTTTTTAAAGCGGCTTCATTTTGAGAATGAAGATCAAAGCGGTCACAGGACATAAACGGCATCATCGCTCACAGTGATTATTTGTTTTGAAAAGCTGCATCACTCATGCGTCGGCTCACCTCATAGCATTTCATAAAGCACTTAGTGTTGTCAGGTGTGTTTCTTTGTTGAGTGGAGTTTTATCGAACGTCTTGTGTCACTTTTATGAGGGACTGTAGATGGATTTAGCGACTCACTTAATCTGGTTCAACCATCTTTTCTTTGTCGTGCACGCTGATAAATAAAATGAATGAAATCATAAATTTGGGTGAAAAACATCACCTGTTTGTCCTCACACCTGCAGCTAACAAATAAAATGTCTGGAAATTTGAAGATTTTCTTTTACAATGTTGATTGTAATTTCTCCAAACTGAGCTATCTTAAGTGCAGCTAACTCCTGAAGACAAAGGGTTGAAAAATAGGAGAAAACCTATTGTTGTTATTTTAATCAAGAAATAATAACAACAACCATGTGTTGTGAATTGTATAAATACTGAGAGAGATCTCACTCTCTGTGAGTTTAAATAAAGAAATAAAGACAGTTCTTCCAAGCTCTCCGTCTTCTTCATAAAAATGTTTGAACTTGAGAAACCTACCTGGCATTGTCGGGGCAGGTTTTCTGTGACCGGAGACGCCCTGCTTTCCCTCGTAGGCCACAGTGACGTCATACACAGCATCCAGGTGGTCCCTCATGGTCTCGATGGCTACGTGAGAGGCTTTCATTCTGGGCGTTAGAGTGTGCCTCAGAACAGCCAGGCCTATGGGAAGGAGATAATGGTCATTGTTGATTAAATCTGATAACAGAAAGGTCATTTTTAGGTTGAAGTTGTATTAAAGGTAATGTTATATGTGCTGCATGTTATCACCTTTACCTTTCTGTTTTCTCTCTACTGTCCATGATGAAAATAATGGATAATGTAACCCATATTTATGTTTGAAGACGTTCAATAAATTGTGATAAAAATACAACATTTGAAAACAAAATCATTCTACATAAATGATTCTGTTTGGTTCAACGACTGCACAGTCCCTCAGTGGATGTGGCTCACAGTCTGCTCACTAATACCTCTCTAATAGCAGATAATGTCATGTGCACATGTCGCCTATCCAGAGCGATTTATCTGGATTAATGGGGGAAGGTGATATTCAGAGCTGTGGTCCAGAGATAGGCTTAATCTCTGCAGAACGGATGCTGTTTGCGAGACGGCCGTAACACCACACTGCACAAAGGCAATCGTGACGATTAAAAGAAAAATGTATTAATTTAAGAAATGTTTAAACTAAACAGTAAAATTACAATAAATTCAGCATTTAAAATCAGTTACTTTAACATCCTCATGCTGCAAAAATATTCAAGGCGTACACTGATTAGTTTCAGTTATTTGACTGAGCCTGTAATGATCTTCTATCGATCAGCAGCAGGGCTATTTATTCCTCGACACCTTTCACTAAGAGCACTTTGATGATGGCTGACTGACTCTTTGCACAACATTATTAAATCATGCACATACCTACACAACTGTACAGCTCCTCTAATGCACCCTTACTACATTTGGTTTCATATTTCATCTATATATATATATATATATATATATATATATATTCTATTATATTTCTGTTCCTTGAAAGTAAGAGCACTGCTGTTTTTATAGTTTTTAAAAGGCAGGGTTGGTAGTTTTCAAAAACTATTTTGAAAGCAGCATTCCCTCAGTGCTCCGTCTGCACCCCCTCCCCTCTGTGCTCACTCAAAAGCCACGCCCCTCACTTACATGCACTAGCGCCGTTTTCTCCAGAAGCGAACCTCAGCTCATCGCTTACATTGTGTAGAAACTACATTGTCTCATTAAGCGGCAAGTTAACACTAAACTTTATCATAATACATAAAAAATAAAAAAACTTGACTATTTTACTTCTCACAACGTCCAACGACAAACTCACAGTATAAACTTCGTCATCAGTGACGCTTTGAGTGTGGGCTAGAGCACACGAGAGGTAGAGAGCGAGCAGGGAGACAGGGAGGCGTGTGATTGGTTCATCAGATTGGTACCTCGTGGCAGACATTGGTCAAAGTTTTTAAAAGGCTTACAACTGATACAGATGACAGATTTTCTTTGTTCCTGTCTCAGAGCACCTGAGTTTTAATTTCTGTCAGGACCTAAAGACACTTCAACCAAAATCTTAAAAAGTAAATCTGGAGAAAATGACCAACCCTGCCTTTAACACATTGTTTCACAACAAAACACCAAGTTATTGTATTTTTTTTATTTAAATGATGTAAATATGTTTGATCTGTTTTTAACTTCTATTTATATTTTTTATAAGTATATTCCTGTCCCCTGTTTTCTTGAGCTGCTGTAATGCACAAATTTCCCCCACGGGGGATCAATAAAGTTTATCTTTATCTTTAAATCTCTTCTACAAGTACATGTACTTGACAATAAACCAGAATCTGATAATCTAATACTATTCTTTCTGAACGGTAAAACATGCCTCTAATGTTGCACAATTCAAACAAACAAAATATTAACTTTTCTAATCAAAAGACAAACAAATCAGCATTCATGTGAGGCTCATTTGGGGAACTGCTGCTTTAAAGGGTTAACACAGGTCAAACATCAGAACTGAGTCAGCTGTTTGACATACTGAGTGGGCGGGGCTTAGTTAGTAGGTGGTAGTACAGCAGAAAAGCGCTGTCGTCGTGTCAGTACCTTCTTTAGTAGCGAAAGCCTGACTGTCGGCGATAACGTTCTTCAGCTCTGGATTATAGCGCGTTCCTTCTGGAAAGATAACGAGGTACATCTGTGGGAAGACAAACACATAAGATCAAAGTGGCCTCACTCTCTTTTCATAATACACGTCATTAAGTGGAATTTGTAGGATTTGTCAAACTAGATACACGGATAACAAACAGTGTGATGAATTTATAAAGACAGGTACAACGTTTTCAAAAGCTCGCTCATTAAATCAGTTTGAATGCTGGCAAGATGCAAACTGCGTTCTGGTGATTTAAACTCAACTCAGCTTCAAGTCTTTTTAACTGAAATGCAACTGGATTTTATCTGAGACTACCTGTACCCTACTAATAAATGTAATTCAAGAACAAAACAAAAGTGAGCTAGAAAAACTGTTTTTCATGTTCTGCAAAAGATGAAGGGTGCAAAGACTTTCTTTAACAAACAGGAACTTCCTCTCATGAGGATTATTTCAGCAGCAGCAGGAGTGTTGTGTTCATTATCTGTAGTTTTTATTTTACCAATTTGTCTCAGAGTTGATGATAAATTGCAGTTGAATAAAGTTCAATCTTTTCTCTCAAAAGACTCAAAAGCCTTTTAACCTCTTGTCTTCTTTCAAGATTTGTTTTTATCATTGAGAAATACAATTATGTGTATTAACAGCTCTGTTTTTCATAACAGGCTCCTGTGAAAACACATGCATTCAAACACTGACACTGTAGCTGCTCGATTAGGGCAAGAATAACAACCACGATTATTTAGATTTATACTGAGATCTCGATTATTTAACATGATTACTCATGGATTTCACAAAGTCTGCATCACATGCATTTCTCAAACTTAAACAATCCTAACACAAAAAAACATCTAGATAGCAAAATATAAATACATAAATAAAAATAAACTACCTGCATTTTCAAAGAAGTGGTGATGTACTTTTGTGGCCAAAATATAACAGCAAACACTTTGAAACATTTACCACACATGACATAACCTTTGATCAAAACAAGCGCAACATTGTGACACAACTATCTTGTTTTCTTGTGGGTCGACAAAAATGTAATTGAAACTGAATTCCCAGTACTAACTGACACACACACTAATCCTACAAACTTTAAGTAAAAAAGAAGAGGAGTCACAAAAACATCCTTCAGCACAATAAAGCACATGAACCTTTCTTCATCCAGTGTCTCATCCAATTCATTTCAACTGCTATCACATTCTCTGTTTGTACAACTCTGAGTAAACTGTTCACAACTCTCCTGATTTCAGGTAGGTAGAGAGGGAATTTCTGACGACATTTAGGAAGTTCAAAAATGAATTTTAAGACAGAATTTCAGATATGATCCGTCTCAGTTTGAAGTCTTTTAAAAAACCTTTATGAAGTAACTTACCGGTGCTCCAGATTGAGTCTGAGTGAGGAGCTTCTCCTGCATCGCCTTCACATCAAACTTCGCGCTCCTCTTCACGTACGCTCCTCCGTGCTAGAAGAGAAAGACAATCTGACGAGATGGGCAGTGGGGAATGTGATTGAAGTTCGATTTTTCATTTTTGCATCTGAAAGGGACTAAAATGGCATTTAAATACTCACAGAGTTGCATTACCTGAGAGAAATACCACCCGTACAGCGGGAGCCACTTGAGTCCGTCTTTAAGGACGTACCTGACGTGACCCAGAGCTTTCTGCCTGATGGCGAGCATGTCGGCAATGATCCAGTCAGCTGAAAAGAGGCCACAGGAGTATTCACTTTTAACTGTGCTTTGAACTACACTGAAATGTTAAAGGAGGTTGTGCAAATGAGTTACCTGTACACTGATGGTTGGACAGGTAGATGACGTTCTCTTTGGTCTTTGGTATATCTCCGTATATAACAATCTAAAGAGAAACAAGTGACGCTCTTACAAACACTAGCTGAGTGGCAGAGATTATCGACAATCAACAATTTTCAAAATGATTTGGCATGAATGTATTTCGCTTCGTTAAATGTATATACATCTTTTTTTAAGATTGCCTTTATGGATGGAGTAGGAAACTGGGAGAGGGAGAGTGGGGAATGACACAGGTTGGATTTGAACCCAGACTGCCCACTTGGAAGACTATAGCCTCTGTACATGGGGCGCAACCTAACCGCTAGACCATCTGCGCCACTCGTTTATTATTCTAAGTGCATCAGAGATTTAGTTTCATTTCAGAGTCAGACTGATTTTTAATTTTTTTTTTTTTTTTTTTACAAAAGCTGGACCGAAATAGACCAAAGCTTTTCAATAAACCAAAAAGGATTTATAGAAACGGTCCTTTCAAATCTCTTCATGTGGCCTCCAGTGCAGGCACTATAGAAATCATATAGTGTCAGAGATGCTGGTTTACTAATGTTTGGATTTTTCCATTAGTTTCTATTTTTATCCTGCTTTTTGTTTTACCTTTAGTTTAGTTTGTGTGTTGGTTTTTGTTTGATTGCCTCTGTAATGCTTATGGTTCAGAGAAAGATATCAAGCAACTACTTGTATTTTTATTTTCTTAAACCTATAGATTTATAAAAGGTTTCATTTCCTGCAGTCAGCAAGCTCATGCAAAATTTAAACTGACTTGAGACAAATAGTGAAGGATAATGTAAAGACTAAAACTAAGGACGTTTAATATATAACTTTATTTTAGTTAGTTTTGTAAACACATAATACAGTTTCAGTTATAATTTAATGTTAAAGCCTCGTTCTTATTTTAGTTTTCATTAACGATGATCACCGTGTTACCAGCATCAATCGTTGCTTTTCTGCACACTCAATACAAAAACACACACACACAGGACGAGGAGTGGCAACAGACAGATATTTATCTGGTTCATCAAGATCTGTAATTATCTCTTTGTCCCGCTCCCATTTTTTTTTTTGTTTTAACAGTTTAAACAAACACGGGAACCTTTAACTTTCCAGTACTTTATGCATGGTGTAGAGCAGGGGTGGGCAACTGGCGGCCCTCGTCAACCCTTCGATGTGGCCCTCAGGTCAATTTTTACACATCAATGAATTGGAAAACATGAAGAAAATGTGCCATGAAATCATGAAAACCACGAATACATCCATAATAATATTTGCTCGCTGGTGTATGCTGAGTTAAATTTGAGACATAATTGTTTTTGTATCCTACAATTTGGCCCCCTGGCAGTGAGAATTAAATGAATGTGGCCCTTGCTGTGACCGAAGTGGCCCCTCCCTGGTGTTGTGCATGCATTGCAAACATATAGTAAGCAGCTGTCACTGACGTTTGTGTCACTGGTTCATCTCTCACATGTTAAAAGTAACTTCATTAACTCACCTCGACACCTGTGTAGTTCTCAAAGAAGAAGAGGACCATACTCTGGTAGACGCAGTACAACCGGTCGTCTAGCTTGTGATACACTCTGGCTGGTAGGACAGACGACAGCAGGCGCCATGCCCCCCACGACAGCAGGTAAGCCGGGGCTGTTCCCAGCATGACGGTGGCTGGGAACCAGTAACGCAGAGAGTAAGTGTGCACAACCAGAGAGAGCAGCATGACCCCAGCTCTGACTCACACCACTAAAAGTAAGAAAAAAATCCCTGAAGTAGACACACACACACTGCACTCTATCTATCTATCAACACACACCACACCTGGCCTACTTTCTGCACACCTGGCCTGACTGGGCAGCATAGGAAAGTGACAAAACTGCAGCAAGAGGAGGGGAGTGAGCAGCTAGCTGGCTAAAGCTAATTTTAACCTTGTGTGTGCAAAACGCAGTTAGCAGAGTCGACTTAAGCAATAACATCCACCCATGATGCAATAGAAAAAAAACAAAAAACACCTAAATAAACACGGTTATCTTGTTAGTATCAACATATCTGAGCAGCGACTCAACTTACTTATTACTTATTTACTGTGCAAGTTCATGGGGAGCATTAGCCGACTGTTTAATGCGTTTAACCGGACAGAAAGTTTCACCTGACGCTACTTTTAATATTTACCGTCTTCTCTAAAGTGGCTCCGCAAACAGAGTTTAACCCAAACATCAGCTCAGGGGGCAAAAGTTTAAATATTTCCTGTTTCCTTCCCTATTTCTTCATCTTTATCCGGCTAGCTGTAGCTCCTCGCAGCAAATGTCACTCACACTCACTCACACACACACACACACACATACACGCCTCCCCCCCTACGTAATGACACCTTGTAACATCGACGAGGCTGATTGGTCGTGTGACGTAGCAGCCATCCAGCCAATAGGAGAGAGCGCACCATGCGTTCCATGTTTAAAGGATCAGGACACTTTTTTCCCCCCTGTATGTTTTACTCATTTAGTCATTTATCTTACGGTGGCTGGGAAGTGCAAAGCAAAATTACAAATGTGAGACAAATTTACATTTTGAAAATTCTTTTTACATTTTTAGAAAACAAAATTACAAAACCAAAAACACTTATACCAAGAAAAAAAAACACATTTACATTTTATAAAACAAATGTACAAGATGTGAAACACTTTTACAATCCCCAAACAAATTTACAAACGACAGAATCTTGACAAAATGGGAATGTACCAAATGTCCCGGAAGCGATCGAGTGAGGGGGTCATTTTGTTTGTTTTATTTTGTCGCGGTACATTCCCTTTCCGTCAAGATTCTGTCGTTTGTAAATTTGTTTGGGGACTGGTAAAAGTGTTCTGCCTCTTGTAAATTTGTCTCAGCGATTGTAGAAGTGTTTCACATCTTGTAAATTAGTTTTGTCCTTGGTAAGTGTTTTTTGTAAAAGTACAGTGGCTGGGAAGTGCAAAATTACAAAGTGTTAAACACTTTTACAAAATGTTTACGTTTTACATTTTATGAAACAAAATTACAAAACCAAAAACACTTAAAGATAAAGATAAAGATAAAGATAAACTTTATTGATCCCCCATGGGGGAAAATTTTGCATTACAGCAGCTCAAGATAACAGGGGACGGGAATATAATTATTAAAAATAAAAATAGAAGTTAAAAATCAACATATTTACATCAGTTAAATGTGAAACATGTGAAAGATGTGAAACACTTTTACAATCGCTGAGACAAATTTACAAGAGGCAGAACACTTTTTTGGAATTACAGGGACTGCTTTAAGTTGGTTTGAATCCTACTTATCAGACCGATCTCAGTTTGTACATGTTAATGTTGAGTTCTCTATGCACACCAAAGTTTGCCATGGAGTCCCACAAGGTTCAGTGCTTGGACCAATTCTCTTTACATTATATATGCTTCCTCTGGGAAATATTAAGAGGAAACACTCCATACAGTTTAATTGTTATGCAGATGATACTCAGCTTTATGTATCGATGAAGCCCGATGGCACCAGTCAGTTATGTCAGCTAGAAACGTGCCTTAAGGACGTTAGGACCTGATGACCAGAAATGTTTTGCTACTTAACTCAGACAAGACTGAAGTTATTGTGCTCGGCCCTAAAAACCTCAGAGAGACTTTTTCTAGTGATGTGACTGTCCTTAATGACATCAGCCTGGCATCTAGCACCACTGTTAGGAATCTAGGAGTTCTATTTGATCAAGATATGTCCTTTAGCTCTCACATCAGGCAAATTTCAAGAACAGCCTATTTTCACCTTCGTAATATATCCAAGATCAGGAATATCCTGACGCAAAATGATGCAGAAAAACTAGTTCATGCATTTGTTACCTCCAGATTGGATTATTTAATTCTCTTTTGTCAGGGTGCTCTGGCAAGTCTCTAAAGACTCTTCAACTAGTCCAGAACGCTGCAGCTCGTGTACTGACTAGAACTAGGAAAAGGGACCACATTACTCCTGTGTTGGCTTCTCTGCACTGGCTCCCTATACAGTCTAGAATAGAATTCAAGATCCTTCTTCTCACTTACAAAGCTCTAAATGGCCAGGCACCATCTTATCTTAAGGAGCTACTAGTGCCGTACTGCCCCTCAAGAACATTATGGTCCCAGAATGCAGGCCTACGAGTGGTATCTACAGTCTGTAAGTGTACTATGGGAGGTAAAGCCTTCAGTTATCGGCTCCTCTATATGTAACTCTATAAATGTAACATGTAACTATATGTAACACTATACATGTAACATTACTATATGTAACACTATATATGTAACATGTACTATATGTAACACTATACATGTAACATATATACATGTAACACTATACATGTAACATGTACTATATGTAACTATAAATGTAACATGTACTATATGTAACTATAAATGTAACATGTACTATATGTAACTCTATAAATGTAACAATATATGTAACCTATACATGTAACATGTACTATATGTAACTATAAATGTAACATGTACATATGTAACTATAAATGTAACATGTACTATATGTAACTATAAATGTAACATGTACTATATGTAACACTATAATGTAACATGTACTATATGTAACACTATAAATGTAACATGTACTATATGTAACTATAAATGTAACATACTATATGTAACACTATACATGTAACATGTACTATATGTAACTCTATAAATGTAACATGTACTATGTAACACATATAAATGTAACATGTACTATATGTAACTCTATAAATGTAACATGTACTATATGTAACACTATACATGTAACATACTATATGTAACTCTATAAATGTAACATATACTATATGTAACACTATAATGTAACATGTACTATATGTAACTATAAATGTAACATGTACTATATGTAACATATACATGTAACATGTACTATATGTAACTCTATAAATGTAACATGTACTATATGTAACACTATAAATGTAACATGTACTATATGTAACTATACATGTAACATGTACTATATGTAACTCTAATAAGTAACATACTATATGTAACACTATACATGTAACATGTACTATATGTAACTATAAATGTAACATGTACTATATGTAACACTATAAATGTAACATGTACTATATGTAACTCTATAAATGTAACATACTATATGTAACACTATACATGTAACATATACTATATGTAACTCTATAAATGTAACATATACTATATGTAACACTATACATGTAACATATACTATATGTAACTATAAATGTAACATGTACTATATGTAACTATAAATGTAACATGTACTATATGTAACTCTATAAATGTAACATGTACTATATGTAACACTATACATGTAACATGTACTATATGTAACTCTATAAATGTAACATGTACTATATGTAACACTATAAATGTAACATGTACTATATGTAACTCTATAAATGTAACATGTACTATATGTAACTCTATAAATGTAACATGTACTATATGTAACACTATACATGTAACATATACTATATGTAACACTATACATGTAACATATACTATATGTAACACTATACATGTAACATGTACTATATGTAACACTATACATGTAACATATACTATATGTAACTCTATAAATGTAACATGTACTATATGTAACACTATACATGTAACATATACTATATGTAACACTATACATGTAACATATACTATATGTAACACTATACATGTAACATATACTATATGTAACTCTATAAATGTAACATGTACTATATGTAACTCTATAATGTAACATATACTATATGTAACACTATACATGTAACATGTACTATATGTAACACTATATAGGTAACGTATACTATATGTAACTCTATAAATGTAACATGTACTATATGTAACTATAACTGTAACATGTACTATATGTAACACTATAAATGTAACATGTACTATATGTACCAGTCATTCCCAAACTTTTTTTGCCAGATGAAAATATTTACAAGCCCTCCACCCCTCACATCCACATATATCGATTTACACTCATCACACTATCACGTCATTTGCTAACAAATTACTATAATTTTAGAATTGATCTCAAACACTGTCTGAAAAAAGTACAGAAAGCAACTTCAGTATGACAACAAACTAACAATCAAGGTGCTTTTAGAGAGGAAGCAGTGAAACCCAGATTTACTCCAACTCTCTGACAATGAACAAATGATGAAAATCTTTTAAGATGAATATATCCTGCTTGTTTTGTGCTGCAGATCTTCTCAAGTCTGGGGCGCAGCTGTGAGACTGTGACTCTTCATATTTGATGTCACTTTGATCTTAGTTTTGTGTTGATTGAGGCGACTGCAGAACAGCCTCTCGCACAGGATGTGGCAAAAGAAAGGAGTATGGCTCTCTTCATTACCCGCTGTTGAAGAGATGAAGCCGAGGCGAGATATGACTCGTCTTATTTTCTCGTCTTTGTTTTAGTTGTTGTGACATCTGGGGTAGATTCATTGTCAGCCTTGTGTTTACCTGGAAGTCCTTTCATAAATCTGTTATGCTTTGCCACAGTTCTCACTTTGGGATTCACTGATGTACTGTAGGTGTAGAGATACCCGGCATAAGCATGAGGGGGTAGTTAAACTCTCAAGAAGATTCACATTTTAATTAAACAAAGGTTATAATTGTGAAGAATTTGTGTATTTGAATAGACAAAGAAGTCAGACCCTCCTTTCCCTCCCCTTCCTCAATCCAAAAAAGATTTAAACAGCGACAAAGAAGCCAGCACATTTAAAGCTCAAAACTAATAACTAATTTATAGATGTTCTTGGAAATGTTTTTTTACTATCATACTATACCTCTTGCATGTACTGAGTTCTTCAAAACAAGACAAGCAGTGTTTTCAATTACGCTACAAATCCTCAATTAAGATTCCAGTTCATTTAAAGTTTTCTCAAACATCATGGCATTGGAGTTCATTTGTTTCTTTCTATCTCTGTTGTTTCAACAGACTGACAAACTGTGAGTGAAAGCTGTGATACAAACGCTCGTTCATTTGTTGTCTGACACAAACTGACACATTGCTGAGTGTAGACTCATCCTTTACACATTGACCAGTCACACAACGGGTCATATGTTCACTATGATACGATGTCAAAATGTTTCAAATAAATTCATCTCCAAAAAGAGAAAAAAAAAACCTAGCACATCCAAGCAAAATGCATACAAGTGCAGGACAACAAAAAGTACAAAACAGCAGAAGAAAGAGAAAGGTCCGCACACTGTTCAGCTCCCAATGAGAAACTTTATTTTAAACAGAGCAACATTTCAATCCAATGGCCTGAGGAAGCTCCTTTGGATTGAAACGTCGCCATGGAGCTGAACAGTGTGCGGACCTTTCTCTTTTTCCTAAAGTTAATTAATCTCACCAAAATTTAATTTCAATAAAAACCACAAAATCTATCAACATAACAAAAAATGTGATACCAAAAACCCTTGATTAAATCAGCACGTTAAAAAAGTATTTATTAACAATGACTTCACAGAACATATGTATAAGTGCACAGTGTGTTTTTTCCATCAGAGCCTTAAACTGGCTCAGAGTATTTTTAAAAACACATTGTTAAAAACCACAATTGATCGCACCACCATAAAAAAAAACTATTATGCTGCAGTGGATAAAATATAACACTATGTAAAAGCAGTTTTCCATATTCACAGGAACTCATTCAGCTGTTGCTGAATTTTCCATGGTAACCAGGCAATAAAGTCTTAGAAAGGGGAGGATTTATGTAAATCCCCTGAACACTTTTGCTAAGCATGATGAGAAACCTACACATGTGAAACACTGTCAGGTAGAAACAGGTTATGTGACCCCTCTCCGTCCAGAATAAACCAATTAAACTTCACAAGAAAAGATTCAGGTCTTATTCCAGGTCGTAGTTGTCGTACGACAGCCGCTTCAAAAGTGTGATACTGTCTGAAATGAAAATCATAGGAAATAAGAGAAAATATGATTAGTAACAGTCAATTAATTAACGAGTTCACACAGAAAAGAAAGCCGTTAATCTCTTACCCAGCACCCACTGCTCCGACAGGATCCGGCACCCCTCTGGTATCCGGCCGCTGTACTTTCCGATGCAGATTCCCGCCTGCCGCACAGTTTTGCAGACTCTTCCTCCACAGAGCTGGATCAGCTCGACCAGACTCTGAGTGGGCGGCTGGGAGTGCTGGGACACGAACATGGCTGGCTGTTCATGGAACAGGTCTTGCTGATGCTCCCCGGCAGACAGGTGCCTCTGGAGACGACAGATCTGGGAGAAGAAATGTACAGAGTTACACACCCCATATCTTATCTTCTCTGAAACCAGTCCAAAGTAAGTTCTTATAAATGATGGACACTAGTCCAGTAGGTATTTTTCGAGGGTTTATCAAAGATTCAATCTTTTATACCAGATTTTCAATCAACAGCCTTCATAGTTCACAGAGTATTTGTACGTCTGACTGAAAGACTTTTTCTCTGGTGAATGATGCTCTCAGCTCTCTCAGAGTACAGTCTGCTCTGCACCCAGCAGGGGTCAGATGTTAAACTGAAGGAGACGATCTGCTCTCTTCTAAGTTGAATGCCAGGAAACAAACTTTAAATCCACTCAAGTCTTTTGTCAATGTTCACACAAGTTTCTCTTCACATGAAGTAATCAGGGACTGGTCAGAGGGTTCAGAGACAGGGGTCAAGTTCACGTTGACCCCACATTGTGCACTTTTAGAGAATGATTGAAGGCTATATGTAAAGGTGGATTATGTGAGAAACACAGCTCAACAGAGAGGGGAAACATTAGAGAGCTGAACATAATGCTGATACAAAGAGTTCATGTGGACAGCACAACTTCTATGAAAATATTAATACTGTATTGTATAATAATATAGATTATAGTGTATGGTTGGACGAAGCTTTTTTACCCTTAGATATGATGAGCTGTCACACATACACTCCTGAACTTTCGGGACAGCCTTTCCCCTGATACTACCACCCAACTCCCCTGACGCCCAGCCACAACCATTGGACTACGTCGACCACCGCGGTCCTCATTCATGCACGGCCTGCTCTGACCTCCACCTCAAGGAAGTGTGGACAACAGGAACGAGAAAAATATAAAGCAGAAATCCTTCCTGCATCTTATCCCATCTCCCCCTATCCCATTTGTCTTCTGTAGCACAACAATGAGTACGTCCTTTTAACTGCTCTTTTGTAAATAAAAATTGATTGATATCTGACTTATTCCTGCTGCGTTCACACATCAGCTCAACAGACTTCCCGTGGAAATTTTCCTAAAGGGGCTGGCAGGAAAAAGTGGGGTAAAGTTGGGATGGAAAAATCCTGCTGTTTTGGTTCACACATTCGACTCAGCCCCACAAAGGGTCATTTTCTTTAAGTTTTGTGCATGTGTGAAAACAGTAATGCTTTATCATGCTAGCCAGGACGGCAACAAAAAAATAAAATGATTGAATAATGCTCCCATCATTTTGTTAATAAGTTAATTGTTTAGTCTTTGAAATCACAATTTTTCTACAGCATAAAGTTGAGCCTTTAAACGTCTTCTTTTGTAAAAATCCAGAGTTCAAAAGTTCATTTTTAAAAGATAAAAGCAGCTCATCTCTACATGTTAGAAGCTGGATCCAGAAAATGTTCGATTTCTTTTTAATAATAGAAATTACCAAAAGGAATAAATTATTTTTAAAATTTTAAAAGTAAATGAATCAATGCAGCCTCAATATAAACAGCTTTTAACGAGACTCATCTGCCTATTATAGTGCCTGGAGCAGCTTGAGTTAATGCACACAGCATGTATACATGTGTTTACATTCATGTCAAGATGTATCCCATCTCCTCACACATATGACCCAATTACCTCTGGTTCTTCAACAGCATCTTGGAATTACTTTGCAATCACTTCAAATCTTGTGTACTGCTGCGTTTACAGAACAGTTATAGTGACCTACATTTCTGCCTGCATCTCCCGGAGGTTCGACACAGAAACAGAAAGCTAATGACACTTAAATATTCATTTGTGAACTGTAGCTGCGATCTGAAACCTGCCTGATTGTTGCAATCAAAGCTGTAAAAGCTGAATTTTTTAAACCTCCAGAGGACGGCTCATAGAGATGCCCATGGTAACAAGCCTTTCTGATGAACACTCTTGAAATTGGAGGTGGCATATAATAGCCCCTCTCATTTATACCACACATGGGAATTCCTAACGCTGTACTCTGGCGGCCCAATCAAGATCTTTGCAGCTGATTATGTGATGTTACATTTTTCTAAATTGAGGCTGGACGGACGGGCTGAGAGCTTCTTTAGCGCTTAAACAACAATTACCAGGTTGAAGATTAACAACACTTAACAGCCCTGCACAACATCCTCTCATGCTTAATTAACCTTTTCTTTGGCCAATTAACTACCGTTCACATTTCCCTCATTCATGTCATAAAGCATCACCACAAGGAGTCATGATGCATTGACACAGTGAGTCAAACTGGCATTTTAATTTAAAGGAGATCTATCATACTCACTTTCACCATTAATTATGTCAGACTGGGACACTTGCTCATGAACCTCTTATTTTTTTTATACTGGTGTCAGTGTTTCAGCCTCGCCTGAAACAGATAATTTCAGCTGCTCTCTTTAAGGCCTCCCCCCCCCCAACGTGTCCACTTTCCTCCGATAGGCCAGCTCTGTTTGCAGTCACAGGGAAATCTGAGTGAGCTTCAGGGTGGGCGTGTCCTACAATTTTCTCTAATACGTCGGCAGAACCTGACGTCAGGGTTTAGGCCAAGTCTTGCAAAGTTTTCTTAACGTCTCGTTCAGAGCAGAAGGAAACCACATCCGGGGGGATTACCCCAACAACTGGGCATCTTGCGTTTAAAAAACCTTGCTGAGGTTTAGTATGGACATCCAACACCTAAAACTTTGTTAGCAAGTAATACAAAACATTTTAATCTTTTTTTTATTTTTTTTATAATTTTTTGGGGGGGATTTTTGTGCCTTTAATGGAGACATAGGACAGTGGATAGAGTATGAAATCAGGGACAGACAGTAGGGAATGACATGTGGGAAAGGAGCCACAGGCTGGATTTCAACCTGGGCCGCCCGCTTGGAGGATTACAGCCTCCATTCATGGGGCGAGCGCACTAACCACTGCGCCACCAGCGCCCCAACATTTTAATCTTTATCATGAGGGTAAAGAAGTCAATTTGTTGCCGTATAGATATTATGTGTGCTGTGAAATTCAGCTTAGGCCCCTTTTTTTTCCTCTAGTCTTGAGAAAAACTTTAAGTATTTTGTGTATGGACATACATGGGATGTGGCTCAGTGGTCCCTTCCCTTCCCGTGTGTCCAATAACCGTTAAAGAACGAACTGCTGCTATCAAATCTCCTGTTTGAGTGAGTCAGCGTGAACACCTGAAAGAGTCCGTGTTTTTAGAATGACGTCAAGTCCTTCCTCTTTGGTAATGCGCCTTAAATATGTTGCATTTCCCTCATACAGTAACTCTTACATCAGCCCGCTTCCTGCCATTCTGTTTCAGTATTTCTATACAACTGCAAGAGGGCAAATCTGAGGCTTTCCTGTCAAAAAATGAAATACAGTGAAGTTCAGACTCGAATGCGGTCATGCAAGGTAAAATGAAAAACCATGGCATTATATGAAGCTCCATTTAACTGCAATTATTTCACAACAAACAAACAAGGTTTTGTTTTTGTTAGAGAGAGTGGTGTTGTCACAATACCAGAGTTTTAATCTTTGATTTGATACTAGTAAAAATCAAGACATTTTGATAACGTGTTACCACAGCAACAAATATATACTGCAAGTCCTGGCAATCCATTGGGTACTTTCTTGTTTTTAATTACCAACAATTGCAAGCACACTCATTAAGTTGCAATAATACAGTGGCAATAATGTCAGTGCCAAAATGTTGCAATTTAGAGAGTGTCAACCCCTCTGCTCTCTGTCTGTTTGTAAGAGACATACAATGCCAAAAGCCCCTGAATAAAAGTCGATATTTGCTCACCTCTGAATTTAAATGCACCACCGCTGCTCTTTCTTGCCTGCAGTAGCGTTTGGTTAAAATAAGACTGGAGCTCCGTTGTTGTTTTTCAAGCATCTGTACTTTTTTGATATTAAAGATCATTAAAATTGTAGAGATTGTATAGTTTTAAAACACAGTATCGCAGTAAGTTTGAACGACCTTAAGAGGGAGTAGAGAGTTAAGTACAATCTGAGAGTCTGTGATGGAGGCACATTCCTGCAGTATGGGACAAAACATCCTCCTATGTCAGTGCCCTTCCTGCACAAATCACCTGCACTCTGTTCCCCGCCGTGACACGAGCGCCCTCAGACAGACTTATGTGAAGTCTGGTGCAATAAAGGGGGAAAAGACCCCCCAAACATGACTTTGTTGCCTTGCAGGATGTCCACTCTTAACTCATATAGGTTGTTCACAGCTGTATTGTTACGTCAAGGGGAGCCTAATTTTCAAGTCAATAAACCGGGGCTGATTCATGCTCAGAGCTGGAAAACTATTTTCTTCAAGCCGCAGATAACTAGTTACTTAATACGAGCATTTCAGGCATGTTGTTTACAAAGGATGTATAAAATGCACTCTTTAATCAAATCATGCTGAAATGAGACACCCTGCCTTTTATAAGTCAGGAAAACATGCAGTCTTGTTCACATTTTGCCTGATTTTTTTCAACACTTACTTAACGTAAGAATCTTTATCCGTGTGGGATACCCTTTTTCTCGTTCTATTTCAAGCGTGTACAGACATGAAACTCAGAGACAGGATACAGAAAACACCCACAATCTGCACACATATTCAAAAGTGAACAAAATCAAACAAGGAAGGCTACAATTAAGAAGCTGAATTTTTTGTTTTTAGAGAAAACAAAGAAACAAAACAACTTTCCCATGACTCTTTCTGATGGGGAAGGGTTAGAACAAATACAGCTTTGATTATTCTTGTGACTCAGACAGAGACCTGCCAAGTGCATTCAGTCTAAAATTGCATAAATCTGCCCAGAAGCAGATGCCACGTCTATTTTGTGGTCAGAGGTCAATAAGTGGCAACTTTAGTTTGTTACAATAACAGATTCTTTTAGACGGTACAGACCCTGACCTCTGGAGGAAGATCTGGGAATCTTGGACTGTTTTATAACATTTTTAACTTGTAAAAAAAAAAAAAGAAGAATTTTACTGCTTTTAATATTAATCTAGCAGACTTTACGAGTTCATTAGAAAAATACACAGAAGGAGTCTAAAAAGAAGTAATTTAAATAGAGGCCTCTTCCTTTGACTCTCCCATTCAAAGATGCTTCGTCATTAACCGAGAAACATTCTTGAATGAATGGGATGGACGCTGCTACTATCACACAGTGTGCCGAAGGTGGACAGCTGCATCCTGAGGAGCTTTTTCAACCGGAGCAGAAAAAAAAAAAAAAAACAACACGTGGTTTTTGTAGAGGATGTAGTGGAACGTGTGTAGTTTGTGCATCTGTTCGTCTGTGAGCGTGCATTGAAAGGAATCTCCACTTAACTGCTCTTCACAGTGGCTGGCCACAGCAATTGGAGAGGGGGGGAGGAGTGGTTTTAAAACTCACAGTTAGCTAATCAGAGGGGGCCATGGGCAGCTCGAACGAGTGGTCGGGGGCTTGATGAAAAAGCGAGCACATGCAGTCTGGCACCGGTAACCTGAGGGAATGACACACCAGCTCTAATTCCTGATGGTTTTTTTCTCCTCCTACCGCTGAGAGGGAATAAAAGGAATCTCAAGAGGACTTTTTTTTTTTACACTTGGATGCTGCCGGGGAGAGACGTCCTGCCACTGAGAAAACAAGTTCAAGAAAGTCCAAGGAGTTTCAGCTGTACTAATAAAACTTAAGAAGATGCTGAAAGTGGACTTATTAGTTTTAAGTTTCTGCCTTGGTCTGGGGACAGGATACAGTGCTGCAGGTAAGAGAGAGTATCAGATCCAGAACGGGCCGTGCAGCTACACCTTTCTGCTGCCCGAGCAGGAAAACTGCCAAACTCAGAGCAGCAACTACAACCACCCGGTTCAAAAGGATGGACCGGCGGACAGCGGCGAGTCGGCTCAGCGGCTGGAACAGCTGGAGATGACCATGGAGAACAACACACAGTGGCTGCTCAAGGTGAGCTCCTGTCACACCCATGAGAGAGACTGACTGAAACTTTCTGTATCTGTAATTTAATGATGTGAGAATGAGAGCCGCCGGTATCTGAGGACAGTGAACAGTGATGATGTTTTAGATCTTGTAACAAACTTTCCCTCCACACATGATGTGTAGCGCTTACTTCATTTCCATGTTTTAAATGATCAGACCAAGAAGGTAGCAGCTTTAAACCTAGATGTGAAATGGGATAATAATTAATGCAGAGTTAACTGATAAACTTCAGCCTGGGAAACATCTGCACAGTTAAACAGCCACACTAACAATGAATGTGTTTCTTATCTCACACAATCGATCAACAATCTTGCTGCAGATTTTTCCTTCCACCCGATGGGACAACTCTTAAGACTCAAACTTAAACACTCTTTTTGTGTCCATGCAAACATGAGTGAAGTAAAGCAGTGTTTATCATGATGTGTGTTCTGTTATATACTGTAACATGCTGTCCTTAAAGCAACAATTTCAGAGATATATTTACATTTAGACAAGCCTGACAAAGAACAGACACTTTAAAAATGATTGATTTTTTCCCCCACTTAAAAAAGAGACTCGACAAAATCAGATAAGTTGAACAAACAGTTGGGTTTGAAAGAGCAATTTTTGCATAAAAGGTGTTTTTCATCAGAGCTGCAAGACAAAAAAACAAACCATATTTTGTTTTCAAAGAAAGAAATTTCTTTAACAAGAGATGCCTTTGTGATCTTCTTTCATAAAGAGAAATGTCTCTTGTGATTGCATAATGGGTTCTGTGGACTGAAAGGGACACAAGGGATGCGTCCCCCCCCCCAGAGTTATTACGAGTGAGAGTGAAAGATGTGAAGCACCTCTTTCTCTATCTCCCTCTTTTTCTTCCTCTTCAGAGCGCCAATACAAATCAGAACTTTTCAAGAAGAGCCAGACAAGAGAGGAACATCTCACAGCGTGATCACTAAAGCTCCGCTTCACAACAGAAAACCCGCTCTGATCTGTTCCACAGGAGAGCTCAGAGGGCACGGTGCTTTGAAGCTCTTCAGGGTCGAGGCGACACTTCTCAGTAACTATCCGCGCTCACATGAAGACAGCCGCTCAAGTCCTGCCTCAGAATCAAAAAAAACATGTAGTTTCATATTTCTAACAAGCAAAGACGCACTGATGAGTAATGACGTGTCAGCACTGCTCTACAAACTTGAGCGTGTGGTTAAATGGAACACGATCTAATACTTAAGAGCTGTGGCGTGACTACACTGCATTCATTTGCACATGGAGTAAAGAATCTGTGAGAAAAAAAAAAATCAGCTCGGTTGTGATGGTTTCTTTGGCAAAACTAACGTGATGCTTTTCACAAAAAGAAGATAAACAGAACAAATGTGTACGAGTGCGAGATATTTCACAATGCTCAAAAGTGTGATAGGCTACAAATTCTCACTTAAGGTTGTCAACACAATATTAGATGTTGTAGAGCGACGCGGTCTCCGCCATTGTAATGAATGATAGAAGCTATGAATATAAATATATAACTCACAAGACATTTACAAGCAAACTTCTGCACAAATCTAAATTGCACAAATTGTGGTATAATGGCAATGTTGCAATTTAAACAGTGTGTTTTCTTGCACTTTTTTGATAATTAAATAAGACATTACCTGGCATTGGGTGCAGAGGACTTCTATTTATGTAGCTGTAGTGTAGAATTATGTATCAATCTCATTCGAGTTTTTCTAGTCTCATATAAAAGTTTGAAATTCTGCTATCCTGACAACCCTATACTCACTATTTGATATCATATCTTACCTCGGCTCTGCAGGTACAAAGAGGGAAACGTACATTTTAATGTCTATCAGTGAGCACATGTGCAACGGCCATTTCTATCTGAGCAATCTAAATAAAATGAATTCACCGAAAAGTATGAAGCAAATAAATATTTATATTTACAATTTGTTCAACTGTGTAGCTGTCAGTTGGTGGAGACGTTGATACCCGTGTGTCCAAACAATACAACTGTAATTTGACAAAATGTGAGAGTTGGAAGGGTCCACATCAAATTATGAACCTTTGTAGTTCCCTGTGAAACCTTACAGGCAGTGGCGATTCGAGAGTCTGTTGGGGCCCTAGGTAAAAATTAACTCGGGGACCCTTCAATCATTCACCATCATGTCTTCCAGTTTCCCGACGCGTACTCCTCGTCCTCTTTTTCCTGTTTCTGTTTTCTCTCCCATAGAAGGATACCGCCTCTTAATTTTTCATTTCACACTTTGATTGACAAACTTTGGTTTTTTTTCACAGCAGTAACACATACCCGTTAGTGCTGACAGTTGGGGTCCCCTTAGGGAGGTTTCCTACTGTCTTTGCAAGATTTGCACATTTAAGTCCCTGCTGTGGTTTAAAGTTTATCAGCCCCTTGGGCCCCCCTACTGGTCTGAGGCCCCGGGCAGTCGCCTGTCTTGCCTGTTGACAAGCAGCACGTCTGCTTAAAGAATGTGGAGGTTCAAGAAAATGATATTAATTGATTAATTGACAGATGGTATAAATAACTTGACCTAAAAAAAGAAGGTATAAATGAGTAATCAGACTGTCCCTAAGATAAATAACTTAACAAGGCCTCACATAAACATGCTAAGGATGTCTTCAGATAGTACCTTCACCCTGCTGCAGAAACATCCTTTTTTCTGCACATTATTTTGATGATATTGTAAAATGTTCCTCATCAGCGTACATTGGTTCAGGCTATCCTGAGGTGTGTTTCACTGAGCTGGTGACGAGAAGAGAGGAACAGGATTTGCTGTCGCGCTCTCGTGTGAAAGAGGAACACAGTCATTCCTTACTGACGCCTCTGAGGCACACGGAGTAAACAACTGATTAGATCATTGGCTGTCAATGGGAAATCCTGCCAGCAATCCAAATGAAAAGCTTCCACCTCGCACACATCCCCGTGTGTATTCAAGAACATAAACACACACACACAGAGTCATGAAAGGAAGACAAACAAAATCAGCGCTGATTGCAGACGTTACTCCTATTAGCCATGAGAAAAATAATACTAAAATTGGTTTTGCGTTGACTGATTAGTAAATAACTAAAGTGACGACGCCGGCGTCCGGTTGTACACAGATGTCATACCGTCATAAAGGATGTAACTCCTCACTCAACACATCCATCCTGTTTACCAGTCGTGTGACCTGATTGCCGCTCAGGAACACCGTGCAGGAAATAACTTAATGATTGGTCTCTGTCTAAATATGGACATACTGTAAGGTAGACGAGAACGAGTCCTGTGAGGGTGAAGCACTGAGCATATCCCACTCAGAGAGCACCTTCTGCATACTACGGCTCCTTGAAGTTTTCCAGTGATTGAGAAGCTGAATTTTCCTCAGAGGTATTCTTGTGACACAATCACACAAAATATGAAAGATTATTTTCTCAGTTTGCTCGACATAATGATCAAACAAGATGTGCAACAGGAAGAATTTTCATCCTACCAAATGTGAAAACTGGTATAAGTCCTGTGCAGAGCAACAGTCCTGTGCAGAGCAACAGTCATCTTCAAGATTCAACCATAATCAAATATCAGTTCCGTTAGTGAACTAGAAAATTAAGGTGTTAAATGTATTGTATTTCCCTTTTCATTACAATTAGAGTATGTCAGATATATTTTTATAGATTATATGATTTATGTTTATCAAACAAAAGTGTGTATATGTGTGTATGCATACATGAATGTAAAGTATGTACATCAAAAAAATAAGACATGAGTTTCTTTTAATAGAGTAAAACTGGCTCTCAATGCAGCAAGCATAAATGACTTTTTAAGTTTCTTGAAGTAAAATGAAATGTCTTATTTCAAGAAACTTTACATGTACATTTTTGCTTGCTGCATTAGGAGAAAGTTTTACACATTTCAAGCGTTTCACTCTTTTCTTTTTCTTACAATATCGTGAGTTAAGATGTTTATCTGGACACATCAGGTGAATGTAGCTCTTATTTAGTGTCAGTTAAAAAAAGGGCAAACACACTGTGATATTTGAGTTTTTGCAGTTTGTTTGCTTCGTGTCCAATATGGCAGTCACCATTGTTCTTTGGGTTTTATCTTTTCTTCATTAATTATTTATCTACTTTTTTTTATTAAAATGTTCCAAATAAAGAACTATGTTGTAATAGTTCAATGGAATAGTTTCAAGGACTGGGTTCATAAAGGAATATTCCTGTGCACCTTTTGAACAGAAATATAGAGAAAATGATGGCAGTATAGATAAAGGACTGGATGCTAAAAGATTATTAATTAGATTGCAATAAATAGCAAATCAAGATAAGTGTACTCAGGGAACAATCATGAAATAGGATGTGCCTGTAAAACTGCATCATTTATTCATTTATCTATGCAGGAGACCTTGAGATTTAGAATTACCTTATTCAATCTGGAGTGATTCTTATTTACTTAAAAGCATGTTCACCGCAGGATGTTCACTCAAAGAGAGAGAGTCTGTTCTGTCTTTTGCAATGAAAACATTTGCAGCAAGAGAACGAGCATCGTTGTCTCCAACATTTAAGAAGAACATTTTTGTGTACAACAAATGGTCAATGACACTAATCAACAACTCCAATAAGTCAGCCTCTAAACTTTCTAAATCTCATTTATTTCTCATTTGTGCTGCAGCTGGAGAACTACATACAGGACAGCATGAAGCAGGACATGGCCCAACTCCAACAGACGGCTGTACACAATCACACAGCGACCATGATTGAAATTGGAACCAACCTGCTGAGTCAAACCGCAGAGCAAACAAGGAAGCTGACCAACGTGGAGGCACAGGTGAGGCTGCACCGCACGCTGCACCGCACGCTACTTTAAACACACAGAAAGACAGTGTGCACATGCTGTGCAGAAGTACACTGACCCAGAAGACAAGTACTTGAGACTTATTTTCTGTTGCTTTACTCTGTGTACATTCCACTAAATCTTAAGCTTACTGATGCTAAAGTATCCCTGCAGAAAGTGCCATATAGAGTTACTTACTATTGCAAGAGCAGAAGTTAAACAGTCATTCTCAGGATATTTTCTAAATAAACTAAAAAAGGCTCTTATGTCAACACTGCCATTTTCAAGATGTTTGAACAGCATTATGTTTCTCTATGAATATATTACAAAGTACCGTAATAAGGCAATCTGTGAATACACCTTTGATGGCTTCGGCACAAGGCAAATTATTTCTATTGTGCTCGACTCCAACAGCTTGAGCATATTGCATTCATTTGTGCCACATATACTTTCCTTTTATTGCATTAATAGACTGCATTCAATGATGTTGCTGCACAGAAAAACAGGCATGACTGTGTCAGTTTATTATTGTGGCTACACGTCAATGACCTTATGTGAGCCAACTGTACAGCATTTCCTGTTATTAGCACACTTGTATTCCCACAGAAGGGGTCTATCAGTTTGTCACAATCACACATCCGTCTGTTCAAAGACATCAACAGCTCCATCGGAGACACATAGCTGGGATCCATGTAAACAACCTGCTTTTTGCTGAGTTCAGTTCCTCCAAAATGGGAAATTGGAGGCAAGGTCCTCAACCCCGGGGTTTAGTTCAATGTGTCGGTCTGTGAAAACAGGTGGATTTCGAATGTTTCCCTCTATCAGGTATGTGTGCTGTTTTGGAGTATGGTTGTTCTTGTTCTGACATGTTTTTTCCATTTTGCAAAATGACGTTTGTTCACTCGAGGAGTGCAAACTGGGCTTTTGTTGAAATCGATCCAATAATGGAAAACAGAACATAATACATAAACAAACTGCCTGTTGACTACACTAAATATTTGAGGCTTGTTTTGACATTAAGGGCCAAAAAAACATTTAAGTGACTGTTTTTTTTCCCAAACCTATTTATGAGAAACATATAGAGAAGTTACTTTACTGCATAGGACAACTGAAGAGAGACAGGGAATGTTGAGATGAGAGCATGGGGGACGACATGCAGCAAAGGGCTTCAAACCCATGGCTGCTGGGACGAGGACTACAGCCCCCGTACCTGGGACCTGAGACATATCCGCTTGGCTTTCTGGTGTCCCGCAATGTATTTTTCACTCCCTGCATTGTTAATTGTATTCTACATATGAAACACTTAATGGAGAATCGTCAGATGCAACTGCATGCTCTCAGATTTACAGTTTCAGTGGAACCTGTCAGAAGTTTTGTGGACAAACGTGGCATTATTGGTGGCTCTCATAGGGCCTGTACCAAGAAGCAGGTTTTTCAGTTAGCGAGGTAACTTCAGCGTTGACTCCGGCTTTTTTAGTTCTATGAAGGTGGTTGCCATGGTAACTAACGCTGAACACCTAAACCTGCTCCGGAGCACCTTATGTTCTGGATAAGAGCTCAGCCTGTTTGAATCTCCACCAACTGACCAATAAGATTTCATTATCATGGTGGTCCTCGAGCTGATCGTAAGTGGGGAGGGGGGAGGGGGGGTATAGAAACTGTGACTTTCCTTATCAGGTTAATAACCAGCTGTGTGACTGCTTAGTGCAATCTCTGACGTCAGGGTTAGTGAAGCCAGGTAACCTAAAGATACTCTGGGTATGTTTAACTTACTCCTCTGGTTGAGGCAAATATCATCTGAGAAGAGCAAATATCAAGAACCCAGTGATCTTTTCTTTTCAGGTAATTCATCACACAACTCGACTTGAGCGTAGACTTCTGGAGAACTCATTGTCAACCAACAAGTTGGAAAAACAACTAATCGTCCAAACAAATGAAATCAACAAGCTGAGTGACAAAAACAGGTAAGCAGGTATAGCTACCAACAATCTTGTCTGGTCTTGTGCACAAAGCAAAGAAGGAACTCTCTAATGAACCTGCTGCCTGCTTCTCTTCAGCTTCCTGGAGAAAAAGGTGGGGGACATGGAGGAGCAGAGGCAGGTGGAGCTGAAGATGCTTCGACAAGAGAAGGAGCAGCTTCAGACTCTCTTACTGAAGCAGACAGCCATCATCGGCGAGCTGGAGCAGCAGCTGCTCAAAGTCTCCTCCAACAACTCAGTGCTGCAGCATCAGCAGCAGGAGCTCCTAGACACTGTGAACAACCTGATTCAATCGATCTCCATGAGCTCAGCTCGAGGTAAAGACTTTACCGTGCAGTGTGATGAGGTATAACCGCAGTCTGAAACTCTATGTAAACTGTGATGGCACAATTTAATCCATACAAAGAGCCTTGCAGATAATACTCTGAATGTTTCATTACTGAGGTCATTGTGTGTGGTCGTGCTGCTGTATGGGATTGCACAAAAGGCGGCCACCTTATTTGAATTACCCAATTCCTCACTGTCAAAGTACGAAAACAATTAACATGCCTTTTCATGTGGATTCATCAAAGGACAGCGGTTCAATGCTCTACAAATGTCAAACGTCTTATTAACAAAGCTAAGTTCTTCCTGCAGAGACAAAGACGGTCATGATGCAGGACACTCCAAGAACATTTATGGACTGTGCTGCCGTCTTCAAGTCAGGGAACAGCCAGAGCGGAGTCTACACGCTGACATTACCCAACACGACTACAGAGGTGAAGGGAGCATGTTTAATCTATTCAGAATAACTATACCATAGACATTACAATGAAAAGCTTTCTAGATCACGACACGTCTAGCAAGATCACATTTATATTCAAGCTAAGGACATATCAGCTCAGAGAATATATGAGCACACAGGCATGCTCCAACCCACCCACACTTACACACAATAACACACTCACACTTCTGGAAGTGCTCAATAATCAGCAGTGTTTAAAAAGGCGAAGTATATAAGTAAAAATGTTCTCAGTCTTCTAATAATGATGTGAATGCTCGAGCTGAATGTAGGATCTCCGTAGATACTTTTCAGAGGATAACACTTGCCTTCACTGGATCCTCACATTTGTTTAAACCGAACACACATAAGACACAAAAGTCCAAATACAAATGAGTATAATTATTCACAGATCAATGAGCGAGAATTATTAACTACAGCATACAGCATTTTCCTTGTGTTTTAAGGCTTTCTGTGACATGGAGACAGAGGGAGGAGGCTGGACAGTGCTACAAAAGCGCTTTGATGGCCGTGTTGACTTTCACCGTACGTGGCAAGAGTACAAAAAGGTAAAAGCCATCAAGAAGGAATTCTTCTCTTTAAAAAACATAACCAAGGCTACAGCTTTCTTCCCTAATACACAAGACAGTGGCCAGTTTTGGTTTTGGCAAATGAGTTGGCCTAGTGAATTGTTGTAGTTGTTGTTGGAGACCATTCCAAGAAGAAGTCCAATGAGGCAAGAAAAAAAACACAACTACAAACACATGAATCCCAAGTGACCGCCATCTGTTTTTAAGAAAATAAAGCCAGTAGTGCACTGCCTTTACTTTCAATCTGCAGTTATTTTAGCTGTTTGCCAAGTTCGGCAGTCGGCACAAGATTCAATCTTAAAAAACAATCCCTAAGCTAAAATCAAAAAGGGGTAACATGAGTGAAAATAAGATTTCCAACACCAAGTAGGCTTTGAATGGTGTTATGCCAAAAAAATAATCTGAAATCTTATCTGAAGTTCATGCAAAATGATCAGTGGACACAGAACATCATTTGTGCCGGTTCTTTTATGACTACAACAATGCAAGCTCAGTTCTGGCATACTTCCTGTTAGAGACTCCAAGTATTTGTAATAGTTTTGTGCATCTGCTGAAAAGTATTTTGATTAAATGACTTTCAAAGTAATGTTATGTACAACCTTTCAACCTTCAAGCCCTTGGAGAAGGAGCTCAAACCGGTGTAATAACATTGTAATCTTGTGTCTTTTCAGGGTTTTGGAGAGCCGTCAGATGAATTCTGGTTGGGAAATGAATTTGTGTCTAGACTGACAAAGCAACAGTCCTACACACTCAGGATCCAGCTAACTGACTGGGAGGGAAACTCTGGATTTTCACAATATGACCTGTTTTCTCTTGACAGTGAGGCACAGAACTACAGGTATGTCATTTGAACATCTAAGCATTAAGTGTGTCTAATGATCGATGGCAGTTCTTAAATCTTGTTCATTTTTGCTAAAACCAAAGATATACTGTGTTGCTACAGCTATTATGGTGAAAGAATTCCCATAAACAACTGATGCCTCTCCAATACATAACAGTTCTTTGGATATCCACTCTCCTGAAAAATACAAAAATCCATTTCAAGCCAAGGAGAGTAACTGAGCCATGAAGTTCAAAATTTAGCAAGTCAGAGGTTAGTAAATGTTACTTATGAGAGCGACTGCTGTCACACATACCAGCTGATATATTTGTCTTCATAATTGAACAGCGGATCTCAGCATTGGGATTCAGGGACAGCATATATTTGTTACACAGATGATACATTTTCCATCCATACATGGATGGGATGTGGTCCACAAGTTGAGGGGTGATCTCATCACAGATCAACTGTGATTAGTTGCATCATCAATAAGGCACTATATGAGGACCTCGATTAATAATGATATCAAAATACAGCGTTTTGATATAATATCGATATAAAATCTTTTGATTATACATCAAGATATCAGATTTACTTAAATGTCTAAAGTTCCCCTACAAAAGGTAAAGTGCAGGATTAATGTATTCATTCACTGCATGTCAGTTTGACCTCTTATAACACCCTCTATCTTATCTTCTCTTAAATCAGTCAAACAAAACCCTGCTGTCTTCTTGCCCTTCTTCAATCTGTCTTTTGATCTATTAACTTGTGATCAAGTAACCTATGAAGTAGTGAAGCAGTGAGGCAGATTTTCAGAGAAACCCTCTTAGAGCATAGCTTTTCTAAAAAATTGAACCATTGATATTTGGCACCAGCGATGTGTAACTGTATCACGAGTCAGTGCAACGATTCACTGCCCTTTTAGAAAATTAAGAAATGTGCAAACTCATATGCGACCACATAACCAGAAGCAAAATTCCAAGAAATAAAACACATTCTTGAATAAAGCATCCCTGAAGCACCATCTTTAGCAGAACTCGCGTGATGTCAGGTGTTCAATCACATTTTCAAGCCTGAATGGTGACCTGGACCTGCTGTTTTGTAAGTGGTTCAATTAGAAGGTATATTGAAGCGTAATAATTAAACACAGTTAGGCATGCTCTTTGTTCGCAGACTAATGATTAGAACATTTTGATTTCCACATATTTTGCTCTGATTGGATTAGCACTTATGCATTAAAAAAAACTTTCTGCATCACACTCATTTCCCTCCTGACAACTATTTTTTTTTTTACTTAGCCCATGATCATAATTGCTGACCCACTACAATTTCAAAGAGAACATAGTGTAGGAATTCCTTTCTTTGCAGTAAACTTCCTGGTTTGAATGTACTGGCATCGACCCAAAGAAAATGCCATAAACCAGTAAGAGTTAGAAAAATAGGAAATACATGAAATGTCTTGGATTTCAAGCATACTGTCGGCACCTCTTGGCAATAACACAACCTTCAGGGGTATTTTCTTTCTTGAACCTAAGCCGATTTCAAGAGTGGAAAGGATACTTCTTTTGAATTTCTCAAACAGACCTTGAAATGTTCCAATTCAACACAGTCCATCTATTATGGTCCATTTGGAGTTAAGCTAATCGACTCAGTAATTCTAAACAATTCCTACAAAATGAAACCGCAAGGGGCTTAAGATTTTGCAAATCACGTACACAAAGTCGGTGTACAAATCTGTCATGCAAAAAACTCACACTGCCTTCTGTTTAAACTCCCTTTTTTAAGATCCAGCATGATGAAGGTATGGCCAAAGAATTGCATAAATGTGTAGGACGCTGCCTTTTGAGGAACAGCAATCACGGACTTCCTCCTCCTCTTCCTTCATTTTTCTTTTTTTCCATTTTACAGGATACACCTTAAAGGCTTCAGTGGAACCGCAGGCAAAATAAGCAGCATTGGGCAGCCGGGAAGTGATTTCAGTACAAAGGATGCAGACAACGACAAATGTGTGTGCAAATGTTCACAACTGACAACAGGGGGTAAGAAACAGATTAATTAAAACTACTTTTTTAATACTCGCAATCCTTGAAAAAAGTTAAATAACGACGTCGACTTGTCATGGCACTTGATGTTGAACAAATTCCCACCCACCCAAATCTTGGCACTTCCCCCAAAAATCTTCAAGGGCATCTTAAGCGCTCCCGTACTTTTGTGGCCGGGTCAAAGAGCACAATTAGCTCAGAGTTAATCACTGATAAACTCATTGGGGAATTCAGCTCCTACAATAGCTGACATTAATAGCCTGGGAACAGAGCTTTTCCCTCTCTCCTCTTGTTGTTTAAAAGTCCTCCTCCATTCCGCTGAAAGTGACTCCGCTGCCAGAAGTTTGTCTCCCTTTGTATTAGGGTCTGCCAAGTGAGCAGGAAAGCATGAAAGCTCTTACCCTATCCCTTTTTTCCCATGAGGGGTCTCCCACAGGGGACTCCATTTGCGCATTATGCACAATCGTGACTGAGTGGCACTGACCCAGTAAACAGAGTGGAGCAGGATCTGTCATTATGAATTTAAAACCACATGCTTTGAATGAATAGCAGTTTCAAAATCATGTGGTTAATCCACATGTTGAAATGACGGCTGAGAAAATACATACACCAAGCTAGGGTGCATCAAAAACAACCACTTATTGGTGCCTAAATGACAGCCTATTATAAAGATCCATATTGACATTTTCCTCATGCACTCCTGACAATTTGTAGACAATTGCAGAACAGCCATTTTCAGGGGTTCAATCACACTTGTCTATTACAGCAGGAGATTATTTTCCCTTTAGGGCAGGAGGGTTCTGGTCTGAAGTCTCAAGAGGCTGGGCATGACGTAAAAAGTACACAGCAGAGGAATAACCGATTGCACAGTATAGGCGAACGAGTGTAAAAGAATATGCTGGCAACAGAAAAGAGAATGAAGCAGAAGCCTGAAGATCACACCGTTTTTTTACAACCAGTCACTTAATGTAAACTTCAACACCTCCTGCCCACTCGCTTGTAGTGAACATTACAGACTGTGGTCACATATCAGCTCACTCCTTCTTCTCGCTGACTTTTTAGTAGGGCGCCAGCAAAGAAATAGAACAGGCACATTTTTTTTTTGGGCTGTTCACGTTCACACATGCAGTTTATCGAAACAATTTTAGGAAACGTGTGATGGTGGTTATTGTTGGTTTAAATTGTTTTTTTGTTGGTTTTTGTTGGGGGCTCGTATCCTCCCAGAACACACTTAAAAAATGATAACTATCTGGAGCACTTGTATAAAGGCTACAGTCCTCATCCAGTGGTCGCAGGTTCAACTTTTGGTCCTTCTGGTCCTCTGGTGCATGTCATCCCCTACACTCTATCTCCACACATTTCCTGTCTATCTTCCACAGTCCTATCAGATTAAGGCAAAAGGCCCATAAAATATTCATAAAAATAATATGAATATGACTAACAAAGGGACCTAAACCAAATAGATGTCTGCGTGTGTCATCAATAATTAAAGCAACCAATATGAGGAGGGGCCGTTTGACTGTCACTTCCAATTTTTCCCTGCAAAATATGAATTATACGTTGTGTCACCCTGACGGAGCTGCTCGTGTTGGTGCCATGCCATGAGATCATCTGAGCTACAACGACAAATGCAACATGACTAAAATGGGGATGCATGCAGGTCATTACTTAGCAGCCATTCAACTGTGTTCATGGCTTGAAAATGGATTTGATGCTCTAAGAAATCTCATCAATCTCCTAAGCTACATGAACTGTTACTTTACAGTTTATTAACTCAAAGGGTTAAGTTTTACAGAAGTGAAGGAAGCCTCAGTTTTTTTTGTTTTTGAGGCTCAAATAGCTCCAAAGCGTTCTTAATTCTAAGACAATACCGTAAAACTTCAAATAAAGGCCCATTCCAAATTAAAGCCTAGTCCCTTTTACTGGCCTGGTGTTGCCATACGTTATGACAAATGAAGGCAGGTTAGAGGAACTATGCATGCAAGTTTGTGCATCAAACATAAGGAGAAAAGCACCAAGTCACAAACAATAAAGATGAGCTTCAACATCTGTCAAAAAAAGATTGAATAATGCTAGAATGTGTACCAACCGTGCAGCAGGTTTGTTTTACCAATATCCTAATTTTATGAATTTCTACACAGTTAAACATTCTTTCTGTTTCACATAAGTTTTTTATGCAAGTAATTAAAGGCCTGTCTTGCATTGACGTGTGCCGCTAATGAAGGCAGGATCATTCATGGACTGGAGCAAATAAAAGCAGAGGCTATTCATTCATGTTTTACGTTACATGTGCATAAATGGAGTGTAAAGGCTAATAATCATCTCAAAATGTTTAGGCTTTGAGAGTGGCTTTACAGTATATTGGACTTTTCCTAAAGCATCATCCGGTAATCATGTTTAAATTCCTGGCATATAAAAACTAAAGCCAGTGAAGAATTATATCTACAGAAAAGAAAGTAATCACCATCCCTGGTTGAACTTCCCTTTTCGACATTATATTTAAAGTGATCTTTTTTTGTTTTGATGCTGTAGGTTGGTGGTTTGATGCCTGCGGCCCGTCCAATTTGAACGGGATGTATTACCAACAAGGCCAGAACTCAAATCGCTTCAATGGAATCAAATGGTACTACTGGAAAGGCTCGGGCTACTCCCTGAAGTCCACCACCATGATGATCAGACCGGCAGACTTCTCGGGTTGACTTCTCGAAATGTAACTCAAATTCTGCCCGACAAACAGCAACTGTCAACTAGACCAAAATTTAAAAAAATAACTCTCAAGGGAGCCAAAGCACTTAATGATGGTATGTTTTTACAAACCTTTGGAAGAAGATATGGTGCATGTTTGTGGTTTTAGGATGCTGCAAAAATCGTAAATTATGGACCATTACAAAAATATTTCGACTGAAATTTCTACCTAAGACTGAGAAGTGAATAGATAAGTATCAGTTTAGCAGTTATACTGAGTAAAAACTAAGGCTGGGAATCTTTGGGTGTCTCACGATTAGATTGAGAATCTATTTTCAATTCAAACGATTCTGGATTCATGATTCAAAGTCTATTTTTGAATGAGTACAAACTTCAGGATCTACTCCACTTATCTGTGAGACTGGCTGAATTTCTGGCTGCTCCATTAGGCATTCCACTGACTTAAAGAACTGGCCTTTGCACTTAGCAGGGAGTGACTGATTAGCCCAAAAAATAAATATATTTTGGAAGTTATGAATCTATTTAAAATCTCAAAAGATAAGACTAAATTATTACAAAAATGTTCTAACGAACGAGAGGACAGACTGTAGTCAGAGTGAAATTACATAAATGAGATTTTGGAAAGTTTTAATGCAGGTCATGCGTCCACAGAGAGGACTTTAAATAAACTGCTAATGCCATGATATAAAAACAGAGACGATGGTACAACATGCAGATTAAGAACTGGATCAAAGTATTTGTAAAATGTGTTCTGTAGTTTCTTTTTGTTGGATGTTTAAAATGTAAATGCGAATGTAAAGATTATAGAAAATGTTTCTCCAGAGAAGATTGTATGTATTTGTTGTTTAATTTATATGTAGATTTTTTTCTAGTCAGATATTTAACATTATTTTAATGATGGAGATTTGTTACACACCCTGAGAGGAAGAGGAATCCTGTTCAAATTATTTTACAGAAACTTTCTTTGCAAACGCATGTCGACCATTTTACAGACTTTTGGGAATGTATTCGTTTTATTTATATGTTTCATTTGAGACTATCTGAGGAAGATTTCTCCCAAGTGAACACTGGATTTACATTTATTTAGGAGTGTGACTGTAATGCTCTTCCAGCTGTTTATACCTGAAGTTAAATATTTAAGACGTCCACGAGAGGCAGAGCTCCTCCGCCTTTTTGTTTCACAACAGTCCAGTTCTGCACTACAACAATGTCATGCCTGGTGAAATGCACATGTGCCAGATGTGAACAACTATTCAGCTATTTTCTATCATTTATAGGAAATAAATAAAAACTTTACAGCCTTTTGAGTTTCAATTTTCGTTATTTTCCGTCTTTAATCCAAGTTTATTTACACAAAGGAAACTTAAAACTGCAAATCACCAGAAGAGTGATAGCAGTTTGGCTAACAAGTGTGCAAATTTAAATAGACACCTTTATTCTTTCTATTATCATGTTGTCTTTTAGGACTGTCAAACAATAACTTTTTATACGCTGAATTTGAACATTGAACATTTTAATTTAACGTTTGAAATTCCATTATTTCGCAGTTAAAAATAAAAATTGTTTGGCTTTTATTTTGAATTTTTTGTACTGTCTTAAGATGTCAGAACTCTACTTGCTGTTTGAATTCAAACCTGCTTTTATTTTGAAATAAAGTAAATGCCTACTGGTGGATAAAAAGTTACATCTACTGAACTACGGAAAAAGAACCTCGTTATGGCTCAAAAACTGAAGGAAAATAAACGAAAGTAAACGGTTAAAACTTGATTATAAACAGCACTGTGACTACAGGGAGACACTGCAGAGGCTTATCTACGGTGCATCTTAAGGGACAAAATAGCATTCTATTAATTACTATAAAAAAATGTATGCATTCATTTTAGAACTTAATTAATGGCGATTAAGTTAATGCTGTCAACCCAGGAAGAGACCTCAGTGGTTTTGGATTTTTACATTTTATTTAAATAATGATCTGATGAGAAATAACGAGAATAAAAGTATAGTTACAGGAAAACCAAACATGTGGTTTGCCAGTTATAGTTAAGGCACGATGAAGGCCCGTGGGGACATTAAAGTACTTTGTCAAAACAAACGACATCATGTAATATCAAGAGGAAATGTGTCGACATTCGTCTGCATCAAGACCTCACAGCGACAGGAGAGTCCAGAGATTCATAAATGACGAGTTCAGGAAGAGGCAACGTTCCCAATTCACACAGGATGCTTCAGGAAAAACAAGCGGACTGAAAATGGATGACTGGTAATAAAAATTAGCAGGTTTCCGTCTAACTGCCTTGGCTCTGGATTTACAGGCTCTTTTATCAGTATTGAGAGTCAGAGGGGTTTTACTCTAAGTCTGATTGATGTAAAATAAAATGATTTATATAAAGAAACTCTAATCGAATGAGCCCTGATCATCGCACATCAGCAAGTTTTCAATTTTGCTATTAACAAAAAATCTGATATTTCTAGTCCATCCTTGAGTTTAGTTTTATAAAACAAGCATTATAAGAAATACTGAACGGGTATAGTTTGCTTTGCGTTCTGTCCCGATGCAACAAATACAAATATTGTTGCAGCCAGACAAAATTTTATTTATTTATCGTTAAAGATCGCAAAAGAGCCAAACATGAAGACATGAGCAATACTTGTTTGAATTATTGTTTGCATTGGGCTTATTTTGGTTTTAGCTTTTGTAAATTGATTTGTGATGTTTGTGCCTTGTTCCTCCCTCTTTGGATTAGAGCCGCTTCGTACCGTCTGTGTTAAGAGATAAATGAGACCTGGGGGAGGCTGCTGAGAGTGGGGAGCGGAACAGTTATTCCACTGCAAAAGGCAGCAAAGATGAAATGATAGCGACCTGATTTTATAATGTTTTTGATAAACTTTTTTTTATTTTAAATAAATTCATAAGTTTACTTTATATCTGCGGCTACCTTTTTGTTTTTTGATAGCTCGTGTGTTAAACCCGCTCAGGAGTGCCTCAGGATCATCTGATATATAATCATCTTGTCCGGGAATAAAATGGCTAAAATAAATCAAATATTTGATTTTAAGTTGGAATTTATTTTGTGACACATGAGGGAGTTATAAGGCATCACCACCTAACTTACTTATTTGTTTAATTTAAAGATTCCATGCTTATCTTTTCCAATTGATGGGCCTTTAACATCAATACAGCTCAGGGGTTGTACTTGTGGAAAAGAGTCAGGGCAACAGCAAGTTTGCATCTGTGCGTCGGACATTTAGTTCTAATAGAAGATTACTGGGTCTGACCTGTGCTGCGGGGAATTGGTCTGAAAGTTCATACGGTTCCTCTGGAATCCACTGCCGTTGCTCCAAACACCAAAGTATCTATCCGGGGAATAAAGAAATAAAACATTAAAAACAGTCATCAATTCAAGTAAAGTACAAAGTCATGTAAAGTACTTACCCATTCAAATGAGAGGATCCAGCAGCCACGAGCTATCCCCAGCAGGATATTGAGAGTCCGCCGGTCACCCCCAGACACCACATGAGTCGTGCTCTCACATACCCGGTCGACGATTGAGAAACCACCCAGAGATTTCACCACCTGACTCACCATTTGCTGCTTGCTGAGAGAGGTGAAAGGAGAATACAAACTGTCAGAACAGACATCTGAGTGTTTTTTTGTTTTGTTAGGGCTGTAAGCATTAGGTAATTGCGATTAATCGCACGCTATTTTGTCCCTTTAGGGACACTGTGGACAACGCTCCACAGTGTCTCCCTGTGGTCACAGTGATGGAACAAAGTCTAAAGTAAAATCTACCTCATAACATCAAACATTTCACTTTGTCACCGTTCTTTTGAGTTGTTTTTATTTAGTGTTTGATCTATAACGAGTTCATTTTTCATGGTTAAGTAAATGTTGTAACCTTCGATCTACAAGGAGGTCCTCACTTGACTTCATTTCAAAATAAAAGCACAGTTGAATACAAACAGCAAGAAAATAACTCTCAGCTTCAGACAGTACAGAAATTCAAAATAAAACCCAACCCAATTTTAACTTTTGATGGCGAAATTAAGGAATTTCAAACACTGCATAAAAATGTGATTAACTACCTAAATTTAGCGAGAGATAAATGCAGCGTTTAAAATGCATAAGTTAGACAGCCTAGTGTTTTTTTCTACCACCAACACATCAAAAGTAATGAGAGGAGACAAACAGAGCTCAACAGTTTGCTCCACTATCTGAGTAAGCTACCTAAGTGTGAAACGATGGAATATGTAGAAGACTTGTCTGATTGGTGTGGCCCACTGTTACCATGGAAATGTTACCTCCCCTGCAAACTCCAACTATCGGGTCTACCACTGACATTCTCGGAAAAACACACTAAATAAAAAACTACCATTTATTACACCCTTATTATCAACAATCTAAAAACTAGATTAAAGATAACTGTAGAAAGAAGGTCCAAGGTTCAGAAAGAAGCGCGCGAACATATTGTTTGTTGGGTCTCGCTGGAATCGCAATGGATTGTGGGATGCGTAGTTCCTTCACGCTTGAGTACAGTCTTGTACCTTTGCCTTTTTCTCGGTTTTCATTGGTTTTCATTATCGTTTTTTTGCGCTGAATCAAATGTTTTATTTTCAGGTTGCTGGTTGGCTCGGTTTCAGGATTCAAAAAATTCACATTAGGATTTTCTGAGATGTCAGTGGAGGTTTTAAATGGGGAAATTAACTGTTGGAAACCAGAGCTGCTGCCTCAAAAGTGGCCGGTCACAGTTGAGCTCTATAGAAAACTTTAAAAATGTTTGCGGTACTTACTCAGTGGGCAAGCTCGTCATGACCATTGTCCTCATAGCCTGAAAAACAAACATAAACACACAACTTATGGAAGGGTATATAAAGCATAAGCATCACATGCTTGAGGCTGGATTAATAGAGGTCTGTTTTCAAAGCTTTCACACCTCTTCTATTTCTGGGGAGTCGTTACATTCACATTTGGCAAACAAATAAGAGAGAAGTGGAACAACTGGAGACCACAGATGAAGCTTATTTTTAGTTTATTTGTAGGACAAAATAAAGGCGTGAATTCTGTGAAATCTATGTGAAGAATCAATTTGAAGAACACAAGATAATTATGTATGTATAAATACATAAAAATACTCAGACACCAGGAAATAGAACGTGTTTTATGTTTCTTTTGTGTGTATGTATTGTGAGCAAGTTAATGAATAATAGAACACAGGTAAAAGGGTCATTTTTCAAAATCCAGACGGGCCGTGCACCTTCAATAACCCCGCCGGATATACAGCTGCATAGAGACCAAAAAGGAAATCAAACACCAAGGCCATCAGCCGAGAAAAACATATTCAGAATCACTGAAACGGAACTGTAAATTTGCAACCTGATGACTGCCGCCAATGCAGCCTCGTACTTTGGGCCCAATTCAGAAAACTATCATCAGCACAAACACCTGAGCTGCCACTGAGCTCTCTCCTGACACACTCTGATGTCTGGCCGTGCTGCTGGAAATCACAGGCTGATTCCTGCTGAACAAAGTGCCGCCAAATAAGTCGCCCAGCTCCTCCCACAGCAGTCAAACCCCGTATTATGGCCGATAAGTCATGGAGCTTGTTACAATCAAACACAGATTGATGTTTTCCTGACACGAGTTTCATATTCAAGCTCCTCAATGATCCAGAACGAGGTTGTAGTCTACCACACAACTAAAGAATTGCAAAAAGGGAAGACCATAAAATCTGCTAATTTGAAGTCTTTCAAAGGAAGTCGAACAACTCAAAACATATGGAGCTACTCTAAAGGTTCCTCAAAGGGGACTTTTTGTTGTGAACATGTTCTGGCAGCAGCACAAGAAAACAGGCAGTGAAGAATGAGACTCACATAATGAGCCTCTGACAAAGAGCCGGTGTGAACGGCAGCACGGCCTCCGAGCAGCAGCGCTCCCAGCACAAATGAAGGAAATTCTTCACCGTATGACTGTGTCTCCTCCATGGCTGCTACTTAAAACAATGCTTTTCAGAAAACTAAGTGAGAAGAGGATCGCGGTTCTAAAATTAGGGAGCCATTTACAAATAGCAGTTATGAAATGAGTAATAAAACCAGACGGAGCCGTACTTTTAAATACCTCACATCATTAAGCCTGAAAAATACAACACAGCTGCTGTTATGTGCTGTGGTGAACTTTATCAATTTAACCTTTCCTGAAGCGCAAACTGGAGGAATCCTACAAGATGTTCCTCTTTATTTTATTTTTTAACAGTTAAGCTAACCAAATTTCACCAGATTTTTCAAACTTCCAGGAGTCATTTTATTTTTAATTCTAGTGCAAAATAGATTTTTTGAAGTGAAATGTTGTGTAGTTGGACAATTTAATAGTTTCCTTACGTAAAATTTCTGAAATACAGACTGAATCCAGATCTCTGCTTGGATCAGGATCAGATTTCGATCAAAGTAATCCAAATGCTACTCAAATATTTTCAGCAACACAAACTGGGTAAAAAACCAGGATAATCTTACCCAATTATGTCATCCCTTTTTCCTTTTAAATAACCCGATTTCAAGATTTGATCCTAACCTTTGCTTTAATCTTGTTGGATTATTTTTTTAACAACCGTGCTGAGGGGATAATGAGGGTCTTAATCAGCTCAAGCATTAGAAAGAAATTACCTTCAGTGGTAGATAAAGAGAAGTAGGAGTGGATAAGGAGAAGGGAAAAGTTCATCATGACTAAAGTATGACCTTAAATGAGAATTGTAAAATTTTACAAGGGAAGTTTGCAGACCATCAGGGACTACAGCCTCTGAACATGGGGCGCACAAACTAACCACTCAGCCACCTGCACCTCACATCTACATTTTAAAAAGGTTTTTGTTTTTGTTGAATTATTGCATTTTCTACATATTTTTGCAAATTTACGTCAACCAAAACACTCTGATGATAACCTAAAATAAGGCTTTACATTTATGGCAAAGAAGACACCGCCAAACGTCCTCTACTTCTATCATCGAGCATTTATAATGTTCTGAAAATGAACAAAAACTGCCCAAAAGGCGGTTCACTTTTGTATTTAAAAACCTGTAATCTGAGTTAAAGTATTTCAGAATCCTCCTATTTTTTAAGTTTAAATGTAACTGCACATTTTCCCTGTATTGAACCACAGGCGAGCAGCATGACATGTGTCCTACTTGACTTTCCGCACGTTCAAAGATTTGCGAGCTGTGCAGGTGTGACCCCGTCAGAGTCCCCGTCATGGACGTGTGTGTGTGTGTTTACCTTTCCATTCATATTTGCCCATTCATCTTTTATCGTGATCTTTCCAGAACAAAAAGAACAACTATGACATCTCTGTGATCAGGCTACAGTGGAGTCAAACCCATGACCGACCCCGAGGGGGGAGATGATGTCATGTTTTTGCCTTTTTTTTTTCAGCTACAGCTTGTTGAGGTTACCAGCGTAACGAAAACACAGCCCAGGTGCATTTCACAGGCGAGGAAGTTGTACACTACCATCACAGAGGCGAAAACACAGGAAACCCTCAGGAGCAGACACAACCTCTTGTCTAGATGCGTCAAACACAGACAGTCATGGAAGTGTGTGACCTTGTGGAGGAAATGCTTAGGAGGGGAATCTCGCACACACAGACTATGGTGTTTAGTTAACTTTGTAAACTTCCTATATCAAAGAAAACTACGAGTGTCACAGCGTTTTGTCAGAGTCTGCACCTGCATTAGTTCAGAAAGATTAGGTCAAAGCTCAAGTGAATGAATATATTTTAAAGAACACAGACAAAATGCACCTAACAACATTCACATTTTGTTTTCTAATAAAGGAACACATGAACATGAACAATGAAACATTTAGACTACCGCCAAAATGTTCACAGAAAGGAAATATGTCACATTAAAACATGACAATGCATGTAGCCAAATGAATTTGCAAAAAGATTAATATTTAGGAACGCCGATAGCCTTGCGGTTACGTTGAACGCCCGATACACAGAGGCTATAGTCCTCGCTGCAGCGGCTGTGGGTTCAAATCCGACCTCGGACCTTCACTGAATGTCATCCCTCTCTCTCTCCTCCCAACATTTGCTGTCTCTCATCTGCTGTCCTATCCAATAAAGGCAAAAACGTCCCAAAAAAAAAACTAAAAAAACAGATTTATAATTAAAATTGTGTTATCCAATGTCACAGAAGCATATGTACTAATCCAGTAAGCTTCCTCCTGCTGAGTTAATACCCCTATAGATTTACTCTTACTCATGCAATGAACATCGCTTCATATGTAAAATACAAAGTAGATGTCATGCATACAGGTTTTTGCAACCCCTCTCCCTGACTGGAGGCTTTTACGATTAAAACGGAATCATAAGACTGTGCTGGGCCAACCTATTTAAAGTTATTTTCAGTGTGCAATGGATTTTTGCGCACCTCAGAATGTTCAGGCTGTGCACATGGTACCCTGTTGGCCACAGACATTATAAACTCAATACAAACAAGAGACTGAATACGACTAAACAGTAAAATTAGGATTATAAGAGGAAACACTCGGTGGTCACAGACTTGTTTTGAATTTCTGAAAACGATCTTTCTGCACCCATTTTCAGGAAAAACTCAGATAAAGTGCAAAAAGTCACTAAACTAACTCTCTGCACACCATTTCTACATTTTATTTAATCAAGACGTGTTCTTACCGTTGTTCTGTTGACCATTTTCTGAACACTCGAGCCGATTTGCTTTGAGGGATTCTCTTCTCCTTCAGAGAGGATCTCCGTCAAAGCAGCTCCAACGCCACATTCATTTCCTCGACCTAAAGAACAAACAACAAACATATGATTGAAAACAGTGGAGGGGGGTGGGGGGGATGTCACTCAACCTATCACATAGCAGGCACTTGCTTTGGTGTTTGTGTGCATTCATGCATGTTCTTATCTGCTTGGTTACATTTACACCTGGATGAAAACACCAACATTCAATTTGACTGTTTTAAAGAATTTACACACAATTCTCTACTTCAAATTTTTATATTAATTTTCAACTTCAGCTGGCGACAGAAAAACACAAAAACCTCTGTGATAAAGTTAACTAAACCATAGACTCAGGTGCTCTTATGTCTCATAAGTTGTATTAAATAAACACACTATGTTTCATGTAGCTTTTTATATGCAGAGAATTAGAACAGTAAATGTCAGCAGCTTGAACTAAAAGTGTAACCTCTGATCTAAATTTCATAAAACAGCCACATTATCACCATAATTGTATTGAAAAAAGCAGTATTTAAAGCTGCAGCTATGTTTTAAACAATATTAAATACGCTGTCTAACATTGAATCCCTCAAGTAGTTTTTATCTTACTACTTTTTAACATTTTCTAAAACATGTCCACATTAGTAAAATCAGATTTAAAAAATGCTTCAATTTAGAAAACAGTTGAAATGATCTTAAAGGTGCACTTTGGAGTTTCAGTAGAGAAATGTGGAAGTTGGAGAAGTGTATAGATTCTGTGGGATATGTTTATAACTCTATACACAAACTGTCCTCAGAGGAAAATGTGGTCCCTGTAACACTGTTTGAAGATAAAATGTGAGTTATGGTGGGTAGTGAAAGCGTAACTCTCCTGGTGTTCAGGGACCATTTTTTTCTTTGAATAAAGTTTATGTTTTTAGTTCAGAAAAAAATAGCATAGAATTGTTTCCCTTCTCCAGCTTTCAAATTTCACAACTAAATCTACAAAGTGCACCTTTAAATACAAAAACTCCATCAATCACAAAGCTTCCGATCCTGTTTACGGCCTTTCAGAGTTGAGGTCTCAGCGTGAGATGTGTGAGCTCGGTGCACCCTTGTGCTGTTAAATATTATCAAACAGAAGCAGGTCTATATCATAGACTGTGTAGAGAACATCCTATTCACCTTATGTTCAAAACCTCAACCCTGGGAACTAATTCAGACTTTTAAAGACAGACAAACATACACTTTATAATGTGAAAACTCATATTAAAAAGACCCCATTTGTTTGTACTGAAGTTCTATTTCTTTATTTTTCACTTAAAATTTGACATTGAGTAAAGGTTTTTTTTGCAAACCTTTAAGATTTGCACACATCTCCCCGGGGTTACAAAACAGTTGGAAACCTTAACTTAACAATATGATTAAAATTGAGGTTCTTCTTTCAGTGCATAATAATGAAGATTGATTCAATGTAATGCTTTCATGGTAATGACTCTGGTTGTAATACTACTCACTTTCCGAGCTACATGAGGGGGCTCTGGCAGCAGAGTGTTTCTGTGGATTGGACTCTGCGTTAGATTCTGTTTGACTTGTCGGTTGCACTGATATAGAAGCTCTTCTCTTTTTTACCGCAGCACTTGTGGTTGTACAGCTGCTTGTAAATGGTAAAGTGCTTTGTCTTCTGTCTACAGGTCGCACATTAGCTACTGAACTACCCAAAGCAGGCAGAGAGTCTTCAACATCCTGTTGTGGATGAATCAGAGGCTCACTGCTGGCATCGGATGGCTGTCTGCGATTTCTGCCACTCCGACCCTCTTCCAGTTTTCTCTTCTTTTTACTGTTATCCTCAGATCCCATGGTTTCACTTCGTCTTTGTTTTCTCTTGTGTGGTACAGAATCCAGATCAAAAGGAATGTGAACGAAGGGGTCTTTCATTGCAGGCAGATTAAACAAAACCGACGTTTTTGCTCTCCGACGGTTAGCGGGGAGAAACAGTCCTCAAACACATGATCATCACCTTCAGTGGAACAAGAGGCGACACTTTTAGAGTCACTGGACGCTGTGGACGATCGTACCAGAGCAGAAAACGAGTGTCTGGGTCGTTTGGGAACTTTCTGTACTGGAGGAGAAGGTTCTTTAGACTTTGCATTATCAGCTGGAGATGAGAGACAACTAAGAGAGTTCACAGCATCAGAAACAGAACAGGTCCTAGTCACTTTAAGGGATTTCACTGCTTTCGATTTTCCCTTTCCCTTTTCAGATTTATTAGGAGATGGGCTTGGAGTTTTTGTCAGAGATTCCCTTTTTTCCTCATGAATGTTCTTGTAAATGTCCGATTTCTTATCCTGACGAGAGCTTTCCATCAAACCTACAGATGTACGTGTCTCTGCTAGCTTTTTTCTCACTGAGGTCCGTCTTGTTTTTTTTGGTGTACTCCCTACATCGTCCTCGTTGTCTTTGAATTCGGGGCATTTCAATGGACTTGGAATCCGCTGTGGTACATCGCGGCAGGGTGACAGCCAAGGCTTCTCAGAGCTTTTCCTGCGGCGGAGATCATGACGGTTATGGTTGGTCGGAACAACTTTTGTTCTCCCCTCTTCCTTGTCAGGTGAGTAACCTGGTTCAGCAGCAGAAGCACTCGAATCATCATCCGACTGGTCATCTAAATGAAAGAAAAGATAACAATGACTCAGGGTGTAAGCGTCTTTAAAATGTGCTTTATCGATAGACAAGCTCAGTGCATTTAATAATAATTGGATTAAAGGGAATACTCTCCACTCTAAATCTAAACCACATGGTATAAAAACCCTTAAAAAAATCTTCAGTGCATCGAATTCCTCTCATTTCTTTAAACTGCAGAAGCAAATCAAGTCATGGGTGATTACTGTGCATTCAGTCGACAACTCCAATGGCCTAAAAATGTGTGTTGTTTAACTCACTACACAGATTATTATTTTTATGATAAAATCTCCAAAATCACATTTTTAGCAAACACAGGCAAATCAAAAACAATTTTTCTGTATACTGCATGCAAAGACTCTATTATCAATACTCTGATGTGGTATGTTTGAGGAATCTGTTATCTCATTCCTTCCCCAGAAATACACCCTGTGTGTTGGGAAAGATTAAAAACATCAATTGATCAGTACAAATGTTGTGCCTACGTTGCCCTCACTTTATTTGATAGTGAGAGTTGAATTTTGCAACATCTCCCAGTCATAATTTAACAGTTGTAGCTGTTGCTTATCTTAATGTTTTCCCTCAAAAAATGAAGATGTGTGTAGGATAAAAGTTGTTGTTGTAATTCATTAAGCTTGGAAACGGATTAGACACCAAAAGGGGAACAGGTTTCAGTGTTGTATGCAAAATTTCTGAAATAGTTTTGCAATTGCAAAATAAAAAAGGGGAAACATTAAAAATCTATTTGGGACAGTAATGTAACTGCAAAGTTCTGTTTTTCTTACACTTTAATTTGAAGACGGTTGGTGTGCTCCCGAGGGAAGGCTTCAGTCCAGTGGGTGAGCGGGCTTCAACCAGCTGTGAAGCTGAAACACAACAAGAAATATGTGATTTTTTGGGGGACTTTTCTAAATTATTTTAGAGAAAGGACAGTGGCTAGAGTTGGAAATCAGGGAGAGAGAGAAAGAGGAGGAATGACATGCAGGGAGGAGCCACAAGTCGGATTCAAACCTGGGCTGCCCGTACATGGAGGCGCGCACGCTCACCACTCCGCTACCGGCGCCCCAGAAATATATGAATTTGAAATGCTCAAAGGGTATTTCATATTTTGGAGACCTTATCAGTCGCTTCATATACCTGTGGGTGAGAGGTTCTCTCGCTTCTCCTTCATGTCCTTCAAACGCTGAGCCATATAATCCGATCGTTTCAATGCAGGGCTATAAACTATTCCGTTCTCCTCGTCAATAATGATGGGAGACACTTCTGTGACTGTGGAGAAAGACAATTAAATGAATGTCAACATTCATACATACTCTTGTTTTTTTTTAAGTTTCCAAAAGGTGTAAACCTGTCATACCCAGAGCTTGTTTAGGGTGAAGGTCTTTCATCATCTTGTCTAGTTTTTTCTTCATGCGTCTGTCGTTTTCAGGTGTCCTCTCTGGAGAATCCTTCGGCTGCATATTACGATGCTACGTAATCCAAACACAAAAAAAGATTCTTGAAAATTAGACTCTAAATGGAATTTTTTCAAAGTCAATTTTATTTCATCAATTTTATGAATTTTAAATCAGAATATGAAAATTGAATTAATCCCAACAGTGAAAGTCATTTTGAGCGATGTAGCTCTAATGAAATCAGAAAGTTTCAATCAAACGGTGGAAAACAAATTTGATTTGTATAATAGGAAGCTCCAGGGAGGTAAAATAAAAATAGTGGTTCCAGTAAATTCAATTTGATGAAGAACTTATCAATAATAGTGGCTAACTTTTATAAAAATACCAATGAATAGTTTTACTTTGGTGAACCACATGACACCTAGTTCACAGAATCTGATCAGCTCAGCGTCCAACCTTTGTCCGTATCTCAGAGTCAGCACAATTTGCGGCTTGACAACAGTGGTGAAACACTGATTAACAATGACGGCTTAACCTCTGACACCAACGTAAACATCACATGTTAACCTGACTGTACTCACTCTTCTGTTCTTTAACACAGGGTTGCTTTCATCATTTAAGGCCGGATACAACTCCTCATCCACACGCACGCCATCCTCGTAACACCTGGACAAAAAAATAATAAATCCATGTCAAGACATTAAAGTCAAACTGCTGTAAAAAATTACAAGATTTGTATATTTAAAAGCTCTTGGTGATACATAAATATAATGCATATAATGACTCCATGAGAATACTATTTAAAAAAACCTTGATGGACTAGTACAAGTGAGCTATTTTGTAATGCAGGACTTAACACTTTTCAGGCTCTTGTGAAAAACTTAATGTGCAAATTTATCAGCCGATTGAAGGATTCTCAGAATTCCATCATTATGCTGTTGACAAATCCCAGTCATAGTTTTGTGTGATACCAGTCGGCCTTGTGGCGACACTGGTACAGCTGTCTTTTTTAAAAATGGTGATGTTTTGTCTGTTTGTTTGTCTTTTTACCCTGAGTTTTTATTTTGTTTGCTTTCACTCAATGTCATGTTTTCTAATGGACTCCTGAGTCTGGCAATAAAGATGATGATGATGATTACCTGCTGACCCAGAGAACGGAAACAAGCCTGGCACCACTTTTCTTGGCATTCCTCCATGTGGCTGGATGACCATTCTTGAAGACGACATGTGTGACTTGTTTATTGAATGTTTTTGGTACCTGTGAAAATAAAAGTCATTAATGTTTGCACCATTTCAATGGACTGTCATTTCACATAGTGTAACAGTTGAAATTGTGGTAC